TTCTATCATAATAGATGTCTCAAAGCTCAGTTGAGTCCTCAAATAGAAGCACAAGTTCCTAATTTTAATGGATATAAGATGAATTCTTTTCATTACCCGCAGATACATAAACCATTGTGAAAATATCTGCCTGTTATGCTATAAAAGCTTCACCTTTCACATCTGGGTACATAATTCACCTAGAATTTATTTTTGTTTATGTATAGGGAGTCAAGATTCAATTTTTATGTACGTATAATATACTTTATTAAAAAAAATAGCCTCCTCCAACTGTGGAGCTGGCACACTGGGTTCTAGTCCCGGTCGGGGAGCCGGATTCTGTCCCGGTTGCCCCTCTTCCAGGCCAGCTCTCTGCTGTGGCCAGGGAGTGCAGTGGAAGATGGCCCAAGTGCCTGGGTCTTGCACCCCATGGGAGACCAGGAGAAGCACCTGGCTCCTGGCTTTAGATCAGCGCGGTGCGCCAGCTGCAGCATGCTGGCCGCAGCGGCCATTGGAGGGTGAACCAATGGCAAAGGAAGACCTTTCTCTCTCTCTCTCACTGTCCACTCTGCCTGTCAAAAAAAAAAAAAAAAAAAAGCCTCCCCCTCACTTCTCTACAGTGCCAATTTTGTAATAAACCCATTAGTGAAATAGCTTTATAACAGTATCCATTAGTAAAATGGGCCTACTACTCTCTCCCTTATTTTTATTGTTCTACTTCTTAATCCTGTGTTAATATCAAGTACTATTGGTTGAACTCTGTGATTAACACACAATTATTCTTAGGTGTTGAAATTTTAACTGAAAAGTGATCCCTGTTAAATATAAGAGTGGGAATAAGAAAGGGAGGAGATGTATAATTTGGGACATGCTCAATCGGACTTGCCACAAATGGTGGAGTTAGAATCATGCCAGGGGATCCCAATACAATCCCATCAAGGTGGCATGTACCAATTCCATCTCACTTGTCCAAGTGATCAATTTCAGTTCACAACTGATCACACTGATAGTTCTAAGAGTCAAAGGGATCACACAAACAAGTCTAGTGTCTGCTAATACTAGCTGATAGAATCAAAAAGGGAGAGAATGATCCATCATGGGAAGTGGGCTACACAACAGACTCATAGAATGGCAGATGTCCTAAATAGCACTCTGGCCTCAGAATCAGCCCTTAAGGCATTTGGATATGGCTGAAGAGCCCGTGAGAGTATTTTAGGCATGGAAAGCCAAGACACCCTGGAAAAAAAAAGGAAGACCTAGATGGAAGATCTCTGCGAGTGAGATCCCAGTGGAAAGAATGGGCCATCAAAGGAGGAGGTACCTTTCTCTGAAGGGAGGAGAGAACTTCCACTTTGACTATGACCCTGTCAGAATAAGATCTAAGTCGGCAAACTCAAAAGGCTTCCATAGCCTTGGCAACTCATGACTAGAGCCTAGGGAGATTACTGACGCCATAAACAAGAGTGTCAAATTGTTAAGTCAACAACAGGAGTCACTGTGTACTTACTTCTCATGTGGGATCTCTGTCCTTAATGTGTTGTTCAATGTGAATTAATGCTATAACTATTACAAGCGGAGGTTTAGCCTAGTGAGCCATGGCACCTGCCATTAAGAATCTTAAATGTGGGACTGGCTCTATTGTTTCAATATTGCAAATGTTCCCTGTATCCATCACCTCCTCTTCATTCCTGTGCTACCCCTAGTTCAGGCCTTCACCACAGAGATTAACACAGTAGCTTGGCTTCTGCTTTCTTTTTCTCTTCTAGTCTACTGCATACATTCCTATTAGTTGCCTTCTTCTAAAACAACTGTTCATGCGATTCACGTACTTAATCCTCAGTGGTTTTCTTCTGTCATTTACATTTGTTGACAAAAACATTAAGATTCTTTTTTAAAAAAAAAAAAAAGATTTATTTAAAGAGAGACACAGAGTCAGTCCTCCATTCCCAACAGCTGGTTTACTCCCCAAATGGCCACAATGACTGGAGCTGAGCCAATTCAAAGCTAGGAGGCAGGAGCTTCTTCCAGGTCTCCCACATGGATACAGGGGCCCAAGCACTTGAGCCATCTTAAGCTGCTCTCCAGGTGCATTAGCAGGGAGCTGGATCAGAAGTGGAGCAGCCAGGATTCGAACCAGAGCCCATATGAGATGCTGGCACTGCAAGCCAGGGCTTTAACCTGCTGTACAGTGGAGAATGGCCCAGGTCCTTGGGCCCTGCACTCGCATGGGAGACAAGGAGGAAGCACCTGGCTCCTGGCTATGGATTGATGCAGTGCGCCGGCAATGGCGGCTATTTGGGGGGGTGAACCAACGGAAGGAAAACCTTTCTCTAACTCTGCCTGTCCAAAAAAAAAAAAAAAAAAAAGGATTCTTAATAAGCTAACCCCAAGCACTCCAGTTTTGCTTGCCTTTTGATGGATCACACACTCTGAACTCAACTCACATAGCAGTCTTCCCACTCAGTAAACATTACCAGTGACTCATGCCTTCAGACCTTTACATGTGTAAGTCACTATGGCCTAAAATGCCCTTTCCCCTGCCCCACTTCATGATGTGCTACTTGCCTTTTTAAAAGTCCAGCGGGAATGTAACCTCCTTTGTGAAATCTCCCTAGAGGTAGTAAAACAAAGTGGTTAAAACATTGACTTTGGGCCAGTGCCATGGCTCAATAGGCTAATCCTCCACCTGCAGCGCCAGCACACCAGGTTCTAGTCCCGGTCAGGGTGCCAGATTCTGTCCCGGTTGCCCCTCTTCCAGGCCAGCTCTCTGCTGTGGCCCGGGAGTGCAGTGGTGGATGGCCCAACTGCTTGGGTCTTGCACCCCATTGGAGACCAGCAGAAGCACCTGGCTCCTGCCTTTGGATCAGCAGTGTACTGGCCGCAGCGTGCCGGCCACAGCGGCCACTGGAGGGTGAACCAACAGCAAAGGAAGACCTTTCTCTCTGTCTTTCTCACTGTCCACTCTGCCTATCCAGAAAAAAGAAAAAAAAAAAAAGACTTTGGAAGCGTGGGAGTACAGGTTTGAATTCTAATGTATTAGTTTCTAGATATGTAATTTTAGTAGAGTAGTTAAATTTAACTGCTCTGTGCTTCACTTGGATTCCCATTTCACATAAAGTTTATCTTAACATATACTAGATACAGCCTAGTATAGTATCCTTTCTCACATGAAGTCTTAACACATTTTTTAAAGACCTATAAAAACAACTTGTATGACCATTTTTCTTTGAATTTTATTAATAAAAATATTCTATGGCTATTCAGAGCTTAATAGTCAGATTTTCACACACTTCTCTGGTGTATACTCTATCATTAAATAGCAATTACAGTAGTAATATATAATAGAAAAACTTATGGTTTGCATTTCAAATTAATATCTTCAAAATTTAAGTTCAATGTCTTTGGCATAACACTTTACCCTCCTCAATTCACCTTTACTAATTTGCTCACTACAGAAAAAAAAAGAGCAAAATCTCACCAAAATGTATTTGTTTATGAGTGATAAAATTATTTTATTTAATTAGAATTTTTAACCTTTACATAACCGCTCTCATTCCCTTGATTTGGACCTAAAGCCAAAATTTTAGCAGTTGAGTGGGATGAAAATGCCATTCTCTGGAGTGTGGGAGGGGTAAAGCCAATGAACACTGATCCCAAGTCAACTGGGGAGAATATCTTGCAAAGGATGGTGGGCACACGTGTGTGAACAGAGTCTCCCGGCACTATCCACTGAGAAAGAGTAGGGATAGCAACACCTCAATCTTACAAAGCACATCTCATATACAAATTTTGGCTTCTAATCACCATTTCCACTAAAACATGAAGGAATGGATTATTCCAGAGCAGGGGCAAGGCCAAGTACATATGAATCTGGAAAATCCTTACACCCAGAATTAAGAAAGTACTTAAAAAAACTTAAATCTGTGTAACGGGACAAAGGAGTCAACATAAAGGGCGTCCCACTGACAAAATTGGGGATAACTTGAAATTTTGTAAAGTAACATTTATAATTCATTGAACAGAAAACAATGACTCCATGTTAATATCAATAAATTGAAATTCTGATTAGGAGGGTATATATTTTTCACAAAACCTACAAAAGGAAAAATAGTAGTTTCACAATGGAGAAGCCTGATTTTTGGGACATTTTATAAAATAATTTGCCTGTAGTTTATGAAACTGTCAAAGGTCACAAAAGTCAGACTAAGGAACTGTTCCAGAGTGAAAGACTAGAGATGCTACAACCTAAATCAACACATAATTTTGAACTGGATTTTTACATTAATAGGGCAATTTGTCAAACTTGAATGGGATCTGAGAAATAGGTGTAGCAATGTATCATCCTTAACTTCCTAATTTTTATGATTATTTTGCAGTTATACCAAAGAATTTTCTTTTTAGAAATATAAAAGTACTAGAGTGTAATGCAGCAGCATGACAGCAACTTACTTTTGAGGATGAAAATTTTTATTTGTACACTATTTATAACCCTTCTGTAAGTTTCAGATTATTTAAATTTTTTTCTCTAAAAACCAGAATGCAGAAAACAAGCCAACAGATTTTTGTTCTTGAAGAGTTGATAAAGGAATTCAAAGTAACATATAATTCTAAAAATGTGAATTACAGTGATTTTTTTTCAAATTCTTGTGTCCACTGCTCACACACATGCTCTTCAAATTTGGCTCTGGTTTTGTCATTAAGTGCCCCCAGAAATTTTTCCCAAGCATGGCTTTCAGAATCTTACTTAAACACACACATGCACACACACACTTTATCAGGATAATGACATGTTCACAGGTGACAGTCAGTACAAAGAAGTTACAGGAGTTCTATTTCTGAAATCAAACAAATGAAAGTATTACTCTAAAAGAACTCCCTCTTGTGGCAAAAACTGAAAATACATTCTGCTGAATCCTAACAGAGGTACTAAGCGTATTATTCCTTATACAGTATTTTCATAATTTCATGTAAATCCCTCATGATATCCTCTAAATAGCACACAGTATTTGCAAATAACATACTTAGAGGTAGTTTCACAGTTTTATTAGGCCGGTATTGTCCAAATTCTATTTGAATAATACTCTATACAGCAAAAAAGGTGCAGGTTTGATAAAACAGCCGTTAACAAAAGTCATGGCCAGAGTTCAAAGGAATCAAAGTTACTCAGAGTATAAAGATTCAAATGATAGGCAGGCAAAGAGCAATAGCCTCATTCAAAGGCACCTGCCTATTTAAGATTACAGGGTATAAGGAAGGCTTCCCACCTCTCAGAATTTGAAAATCCACCAGTGGAGATTAATTCCTTTGATTTGTTTCGATCCAGTCTTCACTTAGTTTATTAGTAAAAAGACACACTGGAAGGGACAAAACGTTTTTGCCTTTTTAACATTGCAAATGATGAAAACAAAGAGAATCACTTAACTGAGCTATAAATGAAACTTAACTTCCTCACTCGATTTCTACTCCCATTCTTAACCTTCCATATTTTTTCCTGTTAAGTCACGAGGCACTGATAATTTCATGTTTTAGTGACCTTTCCCTGATTATAATTTAAGTGGTTTTTGAAAGTAAACTTAATTCCAGTTTCACACTTTTAAATTAAAAGTAGCTCAGTTGGATACTGTCTCTTAAACACAGTAATATAAATATTAGTATCTTGGCTAAAATGAATTATTGACAATTGTAATACATGTTGCACAGTACATATTAATATAGAAAAATACATGTTATCAGCAGCATAATGTTGACTGTGTTCTAATCCATTCCACCTGCTCAAATATTAGTGCAAATAATTATATATTTGTAATGCATCACTGCTGCCTAGGGCAAATCTATGCCTTCTGAATAAATGACTTTCCTCTGAGGTTATTTGCAATTTGGAGTATGATGTGATATTTTCCTATTTAAATTGACTTTGTAGGTGAGGCAGACTGCAACCTTCTAAACCACTTAGAAAATGAGCAAGTGTGTTTAATTACTTGTCTTCCTCCCTTACCACCCCCCCAAGTAGATATTTAACCCCAACAACTGAAGTTCAATGGTACCTACCAAATAATATTGATAAAAGACAGGGCCTATAAAAATATGAATTTTGTCAAGCCTAGGGTTATCAATCTTGCTGTTCCAGGTCACCCATTAAAATTCTTATTCTCTAATGTTTCAGTTTTCTTTCCCAGATACACTTGAAGAGTTGTTTCCCCTCTAAGTTTGGAAAGAGGAATGATTGATCAGCAGTTGAAATAAAAGGTAACTGACATAACATGCAATTTTGATTACATGGAAATACCTACTGCTAATACACTAAATATATTTTGCCCTTCATTTTCACTCTAGCACTAGTCACTTAAAAATATCAATTCACTAAGCAGTTTACAGAATTGGTAAGCTAGTGACATTTAAAATCATCTGTTTTTAAACACACAAATACTTATTTCCTCATTTCCATATTATAAAATATGGTACTAAACACCCGGACTCTGGCTATTGTGAAAATTAGCAAGCAGAAGTAGTAATATGATTTTATAAAATAATACTGAGAACTTTGTAATGAAAAGAATTCTACTAGATACAAACAATACTCAACTGAAATTTCACAGCCATTCACCCAATTTAAAAAACCAAATTTAAAACCACTGAACACATTAAAAAAAAAAAGATGAGTAAATTAGATATTGACCCTGTATACCAGTTGCATTATCTAAACACTACAATGAGAACCAAACACTGGATGAAAAGAAAGTTAGATTAAGCAAAACAAATGAGCCCATCAAACTCAAGACCTACTTGCATGTTACATTAGCAGAACAATGTTTAGAGCATAGAAGACACAGGTTTCAAACTGAGCACGTTACTAGCTGTAGACCATGACAGGTCTATTTACCTTTTTGTGCCTTATGTTTTCCATGTGTCAAACGGAAATAATATTTTCCAAATCCTAGTGTTGGCTTAGAATCAAGTAAGATAATACACGCAAAGAACTTACTATAGTGTATGGGATTTAAGTCAATAAGTACAGCTATCATTATCTTTATTATGCAATAAAATGTTTAAATTGATGACTGTTTTTACTTCAGATAGAATTATTTAGTCTAACAATATGAACTGGTGTTTTCTCCCAAAGTTCATAATGCATTACAGAACAGATCTTGAGCAGAGAGATGTAGTACACAAACTGGAGGAAAGCACAAAATGTTTGGTGTGTCAAATTCCCTATCAGCAATCAGGAGAATTCAGTATGCTTCTGGAAAACATCTCCTACTTCTGAGAGAATCAGTGGGCAGTTTTTGGATAATATGCAGGAAATTTCTGCCTTAAAATAGTGGTAATCTCCCTGAGGTGAGCTTGTATAGTGACCCACAAATTACGCACTGAGTGAACCTCAGCCACTAGCATATAAACATGGCCACCTCACGGGGTTTCGTGACATTTCAAGAACCAACACCTCTTCATCTGGATTCTTATACAAATTTAACCACATGGCAGTGAACCTCAGGGAAGCAGTAAACTTTCCATTTGGTACTAATCTACTGGCTGAGAACTCGGTTACTTCACTGTGAATCAGAAGGCCAGTCTTCGAAAGTGAAATATTTTGAAAAGGGAAAGAAAATTATGTAAAATAGAACATGAATCAATCCTCTTTAAATTAATTTTAACTTAACCAACTTTAAACTAACTTACTTTGGAAGCTCTTCTTAAAACAAGGAAGAGCCTAAAGACTTGCAACCATGGTATCTTCAAAATGAGACCAAGAATTATCTGATGGTGATCAGATGGTCATCTAAAGAACCAGCTGTTCTTGAACAACTTTTCATTAGGACTCTTTAACTACTCTGGCTGACTATCATTTTCAATATCATAATTCATGGAAGCCAGACTTCCTTCTTAAACCAGATTCCGTATTTCATATAACCTGAGTTTTAGAAAAACAATCTGCGGTATTTCCGAGCATATCTTCAACATACATTACCTAAATATTTAGAATACTGCAAAGATTCCCCTTATTTGAATGTTGGTTAAAACTACCATTCTCCACTATCTCTACCTAAAATTTTACTATGTGCATATAAAAGATATATTGACCATCTCTTTTGAGCCATAAATTTTGGAGAAAGTTTTGTGATGGCTATAAAAATGACAGCACTTTAAAAATGACAACACAAAAATGCATATTGTTCATCCACACTTTTTTTTTCTTACAGAAAGACCATCTGTTCAGGTTGAATTTCTAGTCTTGGTTATACAAGTATAGAGCAGCATTTTTCTACTAAAAAGGAAAGTGAGAAAATCTATGAAAAATAAGAAATATCTTAAAATTTTAAATAAAAAATCATTTATAAAATTCAGTATGGATGTCCTTAAAATGTAAAAATGTAGTGAAATAAAAAAAAACAACTGCAGGGAATTTATTTATTGAGCATTAATGTTAACACTTCTAAGTTAAATATTCACTTACGAGTTTTGTCACTATCCTGGTCAAAGGACGTAATGGAAAATATTGCACAGAACTCAAGCATGGAAACAATAATTAACAAAATATCTAGCAACAAGTATATGCTTTACATTTAAAAAATTAGTCCAAACAAAATAATTTGAAACATATCTCTGATTCGGAAGTCTTAAAATGTTCTCTTGTATTTTATTTGAGGTTTTTTTTTGTCTTTGTTTCTGTTGTTTTTTTTTTTTTTTTACAAATTGTCTGTACAAAGAGTTCAAATGGCCTCTAAAACTACTGCCTTAAAACTGTTGGCTTTAAGTAACAGAGGTATAATTTGAATTCACATCAGAGCTTTCTAAAATGGCAACAGTACAGGCATATGATTTTCTCCAGTATCCAAAACGTGTTCTGGCTCTCCCTTGGCTGAGGAATACAAATCCAGACAGCTTCCTAATGCTGCCACAATGCCCTAACATGTTTTGACAAAAGTTGGCATACTTCATTTTCTATGCTGACTTTGATAACACTGGGCTAAATAGAAAATGAAGTCGATGGTAACTTGAACAGCAGTTAGTTAGCTCTGGACATGGAAGGTTCGGTAGAAGATGACCATTCAGAATCAGGCTCTCAAAAGAAAAAGTTTTCCAAAATTAGGCCAAAAAAGCCTCCATTAAAGAAAAAATGCCAAGAATGAATTAAGTATTAAAGTTTATCTGTTCCTAGGCCTAGGACTATGAACAACACAAAGGAAACTGAAAAACTACATATAATTTAAAATGCATTTTTGCAGAAGTTTATAGGGTTGATAGAATGGCCTTTCTAAATTTTCAACTGATGTTTAAGATTTCATAAGCGATTTATTATGTCACCATAGGAAGCCAATTCAATTAACTATATCCAACTAGGAACAACTTCAGAAATGCCTTGAAAAAGGACAATGACAGAACCTGTAAATATGAAAAAGCTGTCTCCACATTTAGAGTATATAATCTTACCTACCAAATGCCAATTCTTAAAACAGAAGACTACTGCATGTTTAGACATCCCATCTTATTCAAGGTTAGCAGTAAAATTGAAATCTTAATAGAACTACATTGTTGTGAAATATTGTCAATACTTCTCAAATGCACTGTTTATGCTATACCTCAGTTTTTTTTACCTCCCTTATAATATTAAAATAATGAATAAATATGGACTTTTAGTTAAAGTCTTAAGTGGAAATGTAAAATAAGGTAATTTTATTAACTCCTTGCTAGAATTGGCTTAAAATCTATTTACCAAATAAGAAATAGTAAACTTTTAAGTTTTACTCAGAAAGGAGATGAATTCTGATCCACTCCTAATGTCTACATAAAACATTTCATCACTTTAGTTTATAACATTTTTCTGGGAATATATTATTGTTGCACATCAGAAAAAATCCAACTACATAAATTATTATCTAAATGTTAACCTTTTGACAAAGGCAAAAAATTCTTCTGAAAAATCTAGAATAATCTGTTAAACAATTACCAGTGTTGGTCATTAAAAACTTATGAATAATTAATGCAGTTTTGCTGTATTTCACCTGTTACCAAAGCAAAAATGGGATGGTAAAATTTCCCAATGGAACATGTCAAAGAACAATAACTGGAACACTGGTAACATTTCACTTGCCTTCTGATACCACTTTCCAGGACAAAAACAGTGACATGAACTTTTGCAGATTTTGAAATTTATAAATTCAAAAATGGTATTAAAAATTCAACTTAGGAGAAAAAAAGCAAAATATATCTAGTGGTATCCAAATTTCAAATAAAACCTCAACAGTAAGTATGGCTGATGTTTACTTCCAAACAGTCATTTTTCCATAAAATGTTGGCTGTGTCATAAGCAATCGCCTGTGCTTTCTGTCAACCGAGGTCTGCCGAAGTACAACACATTCCCTTGGTCAACTCAACTTCAGCTGAAGTGTCGAGCTAGGCGGGCAGATCTATAGTCAGCACGAAGTTGTACAAAGGAGTGAAGTATGTTCTTGTCCAGGTTAGCAAGCTGTTCTCCTGAGCAGACTTGCTTTAAATTATCTGGGGCAACTACCAGAAGATTGCAAAGTGCATGCAGAGTATCAAAAAGATGTAATACCATTGGAATCTGAATTGAGAAAAGGAAAAAATTAACAATGAAACAATATCATTTGCCATGTGATAATTCATTTGTAAATTCTTCTCATTTACATACTGTCAACCAGAACTTACTGCAGAAGGGAAAGTTAGCTATATTAGTATTTTTTAAGCTCCTAAAGTGTTAAAATTCAGATTTCAGTAGTTACTTAAAATATATTCTCTTGAATAGTTTCACTGTTAATTTTCTTCAATAGTAACAGATACTTATATTTTGGTGGACTAGAAGCAGTTATTATTAATATATTATTTTTCTTAAAAAATTCAAATTTCAGGGAAAAATTATTTCAGACACACACAAAAAACATTTTCCTGTGTGTGACATACACAGCAGTAGCCACAGTGTCCACAGGTCATTATGTAATATGACCTTGCCTAAAATCAAGCACAAAGCAAAAGTGTGCTAAATATTGAAAATAAATGGAACATTTATTCAAGTTCGGTGTGTTAGATTCATATTATAATATCAACAAAAGTTATAAACTTTTCACTAATCACTATAAATCAGTAGAGATCATTAACAGTCTGACTTATGTTTCTGAGCCTATTTGTAAGTTTGATTTTTGGGTACACATACCTTGAAGTCTTTGGCACACTTTCTATATTCAGCTACATCACAAATTGCTAACATGCCACCCATACAACTGTAGGAATATTGTTGAAGATGTTCATAAATAAGTCGATGAAAACGTACTCCAAGTTCCATCAAAACTGTGTCCACATTCTTTCCATCCATGGAATTTTTTATCTTTTCTACTTGTTTTCTTACATAAGCACAGACTTTTACACAGGCCTGTAAAAGTTTTTCTAAACTTATTATACAGAAATGTACATCAGCTTAGCTAAGGAGAAAATATTTTTGTTTCTTAATCTCTAAGCACAAAAAAAGAAAACTTTAAAGATATACCAATGAAAATGCTAACAAAGTATGATACTCTATTAACAAATAGTATTGTTTCACTCACATTAGTATACTGAATCAAAACATTGTTTTCATCCTCTGGCTTAAAATCTGTTTTCTTTTGTTCTGCAGCCAAGATATGCTTCATCTGTCCAATCATACAATTTAATGTCCTAGAGAATTGAGAACACAACACATTTGAACCACTTATTTGATACTTACTTTTATTTATGTCATTTATACTACATTAGAATTATTTAATTCCAAATCACCATAAAATATTTTGCTATAAACTTTAGATTTTAGAAAAAAGTAATTCAAGGTGCTTACATAAAAAAAAATCTTGGTTTTACTACTCTTTCTCAAAACAAAAGGCCAAGATTCCTTGCTTAATACTTTAAGGAAATCGTAAAGATCTTAGAAATCTGTCACTAATTTATTTCCTTAACAACTAAGGATCCTCAAAGGCAAAACTACAAAGAGGTGAGAAGATTAAGAGCTACAGAACTGACAAGATTTGGAGGAGCAGGCGGAAGGAACATGAATCACGTCTAAGGATACAATAAGTGGTACTAAAGATCCACTTGAGAAATGGGACATGGATTTGAAGTAGCACTAATAGTGTGTTCAAGGACTGGAAGAAATGTATTGTTAAAATGTCCACAATACACAAAGTAATCTACAGATTCAACATATTCCAGTGCAAATTCCAGCAACATGTTTCTCAGATACGAAAAGACAATCTTAAAGTTCACACAAAACCACAAAAGATCCTGCATAGCCAAGCAATCTTGGGCAAGTGTAACAAAAGCGGAAACATAACATTCCTGATTTCAAAATATATTATAAAGCTATAATACATAAAACAGCACGGTACTAGCATAAAAGAGGTATACAGACCATTGGAACAAAATAAAAAGCACAGAAATAAATGCATGCATTTACAGCTGACTGATCGTCCAAGGGTGTCAAGAACACACAATGGAGGAGCAGTGCTGTGGCATAGAAGGTTAAGTTTCTGCCTGCAGTACTGGCATGCCATATGGCCACCGGTTCAAGTCCCAGCTGCTCCACTTCTGATCCAGCTCCCTGTTAATGTGCCTGGGAAAGCAGCAGAAGACGGCCCAAGTTCTTGGGATCCTGCACCCACATAAGAGACCTGGAGCAGGTTCCTGGCTCCTATCTTCAGCCTGGCCCAACCCTGGCTGCTGTGGCTATTTCGGGAGTGAACCAACGGATGGAAGATCTCTCTTGCTCTCTCTCTCCTTTTCACTCTGTATCTCTGCCTTTCAAAAAAATAAATCTTTAAAAAAATAAAAAAATACAAAATGGGGAAAGGATAGCCTTTTCAATTACGGTCTTAAGAAAATCAGATATCCACACTGCAAATAATGAAATCAGATCCCTTACCTTGCATGTATATAAAAAACTCAAAATGGATTACAGCCTCAACAAAAGACTTTAAACCATGAAGCTACTAGAAGGAAACACAGGGGCAAAGTTTCTTGACACTGATGTTGGCAATGTTTTTTGGATATGATCCCAAAACCACAGGCAACAAGAGCAAAAACAGGTTAACTGAGACTGCATTAAACTAAAGAGTTTCTGCATGACAAAGAAAAAAACCAACACAGAGTGAACAACATACAAAATGAAAGAAAATATTTACAAACTAGACATCACATAAAGAATTAATATCCGAAATATATAATGCAATAGCAAAAGAACAAATAACCCTGCTTATAAAAAGTGCAAAGCCTCTGAACAGACATTTCTCCAAAGACATACAAACGGCCAACAGGTATATGAAAAGGTGCTCAGTATCACTAGTCATCAGGGAAATACCAATCAAAAACACAAAGAGGTTATCACCTCATACCTATAAGGACAGCTATTATCAAAAAAAAAAAAAAAAAGAAAAGAAAAGAAAAAAGTGCTGGTGAGGGTGTGGAGCAAAGGGAGTATTAGCACACTGTTGGTGAGAATTTTTCATCACTGATGAGACTCTTAACTAGTTAAAGCCATTATGGAAAACAGTATGGGGGTTCTAAAAATTGAAAGTAGAACTACTATACAATCCAGCAATACTTCTGTGTATATATCCAAAGAAAATGAAATAAACATCTCAAAGAGGTATATGCACTTTCATGTTCACTACATCATTATATACAGTCAAGATTCAGAAACAAGGGCTGGTGCTGTGGCATAGGAGTTTAAGCCTCCGTCTGTGGCACAGGCATCCCATGTGGGCTCTGTTTCATGTCCCAGCTGCTCCTTTTCCTATCCAGCTCCCTGCTAATGGCCACGGACAACAGTGGTTGATGACCCAAATGCTTGGGCCCCTGCACCCACATGGGAGACTATGAGGAAGTTCCTGGCTTCTGGCTTTGGATTGGTGCAGCTCTGGACACTGAGGCCAATTGGTGAGTGAACCAGAGGATGGAAGACCTTATTCTCTCTCTACCTCTCTCCCTCTTAACTTTGTCTCTTAAATAAATCTTTCAAAAACAAAAAAGAAAAGAAAAGAAAAGAAAAGAGGCCGGTGCCACGGCTCACTAGGCTAATCTTCCGCCTGTAGCACTGGTACCCTGGGTTCTAGTCCCGGTTGCTCCTCTTCCAGTCCAGCTCTCTGCTGTGGCCCGGGAAGACAGTGGAGGATGGCCCAAGTGCCTGGGCCCCTGCAACCACAGGGGAGACCAGGAAGAAGCACCTGGCTCCTGGCTTCGGATCAGCGCAGCACCGGCCATAGCAGCTATTTGGGGGGTGAACCAATGGAAGGAAGACCTTTCTCTCTCTCTCTAACTCTGCTTGTCAAAAAAAAAAAAAAAAAAGGAAATCTTTCCACTATGTTAACATGGATAAAACTGGAGGAACACTATGCTAAGTGGAATAAACCAGACACAGACAAATATTACATGATCTCACTTATATGTGGAATCTAAAAGAGTAGAACTCAGAGGTACAGAGCAGAATGGTGGGGGCCAAGGGCTGGGGAAAAGAAAACAGATGTTGATCAAAGATAATTTCAGCTATACAGGAATAGTAAGTTTCAGAGATCTAAAGTATGGTGACTATAGTTAATAATACTGTACTGTACACTTGAAATTTGCTTAGAACTTTTTGTATTCTCATCTTAAGAAAAAAAAGATGGTAATTATGTGAGGTGATGAAAATATAAATCAGCTTTATTGTGGCAATCATTTCAAAATCTATACTTATATCAAAACATGTTGTATACCTTAAAGATCTATAATTTTTATGGTCTATTATAACTCAATAAAGTTGAATTTAAAAAGAGTGTAACCAGTTTTTAGGACTGTTTTTAGCTTATTCTTCAGTAAACTAGCTTGACTAATTAATTTTATAACATCTTATTTTTCCCAATTTTACTCTTCTATTTTATTTTTTGTCCACTTATTATTATATACTAGTAGTTCTATGGCTTAGTGCAAAAACCAGTTGGGGGATGAGTTGCCACTACTCTAAAGACTACACCATAAACAGGTAATTAATAGCAATTAACATTACAAAAGTTTTCTTGCAACCAGAAGTTACTTTTAGAGTGTTAATACATTCATTTAGAATATTTCAAACATAATTTTGCAAATTCTCAATGAAAATATAATCCTTCATGTAATACATATATAAAAAAAAAGTTTACATTTTGTAACTGTGTGGTGTAGAAAAGGGAGGCTTACAACCAAAAACGCTTTTAACTGAATCTGGTTTAAAAGTTAATCTGGGGGGCTGGTGCCGCAGCTCACTAGGTTAATCCTCTGCCTTGTGGCACCGGCACACCAGGTTCTAGTCCCAGTCGGGGCACCGGATTCTGTTCCGGTTGCCCCTCTTCAAGGCCAGCTCTCTGCTGTGGCCCGGGAGTGCAGTGGAGGATGGCCCAAGTCCTTGGGCCCTGCACCCCATGGGAGACCAGGAGAAGCACCTGACTCCTGTCTTTGGATCAGCACAGTGCACCGGCTGCAGCGTGCCGGCCACAGCGGCCATTGGAGGGTGAACCAAAAAAACGGCAAAAGGAAGACCTTTCTCTCTGTCTCTCTCTCACTGTCCACTCTGCCTGTAAAAAAAAAAAAAAAAAAAAAAAAAGTTAATCTGGGGGCCGGCGCTGTGGCATAGCAGGTTAAGCCACCGCCTGCAGTGCCAGCATTCCATACGGGTGCCGGTTCAAGTCCGACTGCTCCACTTCCAATCCAGCTCTCTGCTATGACCTAGGAAAGCAGTGGTTGATGGCCCAAGTGCTTGGGCCCCTGCACCTGGGTGGGAAACCCAGAAGAAGCTCCTGGCTCCTGGCTTCGGATCAGCACAGCTCCGGCCATTGCAGCCAAGTAGAGAGTGAACCAGCAGATAGAAAACCTCTCTCTCTCTCTCTGCCTCTCCTCTCTGTGTAACTCTTTCAAATAAATAAATAAATCTTTGAAAAAAAATAAAAAAGTTAATCTGAGGGGCTGGCCCCGTGGTGTAGCGGGTAAAGCTGTCACTGGCACTGCTGGCATCCCATATGGGCACCAGTTCAAGTCCCCGCTGCTCCACTTCCAATCCAGCTCTGTGCTAATGCACCTGGAAAAGCAGCAGAGGACAGTCCAAGGCCTTGGGCCCCTGCATCCACGTGGGAGACCTGGAAGAAGCTCCTGGCTCCTGGCTTCGGATCTGCCCAGCTCTGGCTGCTATGGCCATCTAGGGAATAAACTAGTGGATGGAAGACCTCTCTCTGCCTCTCTGTAACTCTGCCTTTCAAATAAATAAATCTTTATAAAAAAAGAAGAAATCAATCTGAGGGGCAGGGCTTATAGCACAACAGGTTAAGCTGCTGCCTGCAAAACAGAATCCCATATGGACACTGGTTCCAAGTCTGGCTGCTCCACTTCTGATCCAGCTCCCTCCTAATCAGCCTGGGAAAGCAGCGGAAGATTGTCCCTGTCCTTGGGCCTCTACACCGATGTGGGAGACCTGTATGAAGCTCCTGGCTTCGGGATTCAGCGTAGCCCAGTCCCAGCTGTTGCAGCTACCTGGGGAGCAAACCAGGGGATGGAAGATCTCTGTGTATCTCCTCTCTCTCGCTCTCGCTCTCACTCTGTAACTATGCCTTTCAAATAAATAATATAAACCTGGAAAAAAAAAAAGTTAACCTGAGCATAATGACTTCCAGAAATAAAAAGCTTGGCAACTCAAAAATATTGTAGTAAGGATAAAAGCAATATGCAAAGATAAAACCAAATGTCATATAGCAAAATGGTGAAAAAAAGATAAGAGTTTTTTTTTCTAAAACTGTTTCCATGTTATTAAGATAGTATTTTTACAATTAAAAAACAATTGCAAGAGAAAAAAACCAGCAACTTGCCTATCAATACCAGTATCCAATTTCATCTCCATTTGTTCAATTATTTCTTTTTTCTTCTGAAGGCATTCAGATAACTTAGGAGAAGAGCTATTATATATTGAAAGGGGAGAAAATCACATCAATGGCCTTATAACTTCTAAAAGTTTCTCATACACAAGTGTACCACATACATTTTAAATATATACACACACTCATTAATTTAGCTTATCCACTAGTCCAAGAACCTCATGTGTAGTAGTTATAATAATGAATATTCATTACGCCAAACTCATCCTAATAATCACATGAAGAACAATTAATCCATTATAAAAGAAGAAAGAGAAAGATTATTCAGATGTCTGAAGATACATCTAAAGATATGAACAGTTAAATTTTAAAATTTTGGAATTACTTGTTTTTCCTCTACAAATAAATACTTGGTATACCAGAAAAGTCAAGGGTATCACTATACTCTTAATAGATTAGGTAAATCACAGTAATTAAAATTTGGAGGCTAAGAGTTAATCCAGCAGAATTCAGCTTTCCTAAATAAAAACAAAAACAAAAACAAAAACAGAAACCTAACATTGCATTCTGAATGCTACCAAAAAGTCAAAAAAAACCCCAAAGAACTAAGATATAATTATGGGGATTCTTTATAATGTGGTGTTAACAGTTCTTCAAAAAAATTTCCTGTCAAAGTAAGACTCAGGAATCACAAGTGATTTTTGAGACTATTTCTGGACTAGTTCTGGTATGTCAGTGCTTACACCAAAATGTTTACCAGTTTATCTTTCAGATGGCTATTTTTCTTCTTCAATACTGTTAAACAAGTTCATAAGCATGTTCATATATACACTACCTTATTTAATTCTCGTATGCTTTAAAAGCCCACATAAATTGCTATCGAGATATAAAATAAACCAACTCTTCAAAATCTGATTAATCCAATAAATTTTTGAATGTTTTTATGTCATTCCTAGTGAACAGTGCCTATTGAATCTTTTGAAGGACATCAAATTTGCTGAGTTTCACTAAATTGAAAGTCTTCTTTCATTTCAGATTTCAGTTTTAGTTTACGACAGCTGAAGTCTTTTCAAATACACCAAAAAAAAAATTTTTTTTGACAGGCAGTGTGGACAGTGAGAGAGAGAGACAGAGAGAAAGGTCTTCCTTTTGCCGTTGGTTCACCCTCCAATGGCCGCCCGCCGCGGCCAGTGCGCTGCGGCTGGCGCACCGCGCTGATCCGAAGGCAGGAGCCAGGTACTTATCCTGGTCTCCCATGGGGTGCAGGGCCCAAGGACTTGGGCCATCCTCCACTGCACTCCCGGGCCACAGCAGAGAGCTGGCCTGGAAGCGGGGCAACTGGGACAGAATCTAGTGCCCCGACCGGGACTAGAACCCGGTGTGCCGGTGCCGCAAGGCGGAGGACTAGCCTAGTGAACCACGGCGCCGGCCCAAATACACCAAAATTAATAACACAGTAGGAAAAGAAAACAGAAATGAAAGAAGGAAAAGAACTTTTATTTATTTTACATCTCATCCCTTTTGTTGTCTTTATGAACATGTATTACTTTTAAAACTTCTAAAAATATATGTGGAACATTGTAAGATTCACCAAAATATAAATGAAAATCAGATATTTTGACTAACCTTATTAGTGGCATAAGGTGATCATTAAACTGCTTGTCAAAAAGATGAAAAATAGTATTGGCTTGTTGCACAACATCCAAAAAATACAGATTTGCATTCCTAGAATCTGAAGAAGGAATTCCTAAAATTGGAAGACATATATAGATTAGAATCAACTTTGAAAAAATCTATTTTAACAACAGAAAAAGAGTGTGGTTTTAAATATACAACATGAACAAAAGTTAACTGCTGTGTGACGAAGCAATATTTTCCTGTGAACATAAAAGGAAAATTAAACTATCATAATAAAATCACCCAAAGTTATTTTTATGCATAATTTTCCCCCAAGTACCAAGCCTTCATAATAGCTTAAACTGAATACTAACTAAATTACTTCATAGAAAATACTTATGGGGGCTGGCGCCGTGGCTCACTTGGCTAATCCTCCGCCTGAAGCGCTGGCATCCCACATGGGCACTGGGTTCTAGTCCCGGTTGCTCCTCTTCCAGTCCAGCTCTCTGCTGTGGCCCAGGAAGGCAGTGGAGGATGGCCCAAGTGCTTGGGCGCCTGTACCCGCATTGGAGACCAGGAAGAAGCCCGACTGCTGGCTTTGGATCGGTGCAGCACTAGCCGTAGCGGCCATTTAGGGGGTGAACCAACGGAAGGAAGACCTTTCTCTCTAACTCTACCTGTCTAACTCTACCTGTCAAATAAGTAAAAAAAAAAAAAAAAAAAAAAAAGAAATAAAGAAAACTTATGAATATGAGCCTATAAGAAAATTTCCTAATAAATCTCTCCAAATTGAGAATTTTGCCATTAAACTAAAATTGCTAGGTCTCTATATTGGCTAATAACAAATCTCTCACACCACACAGATTCAAATTCATGTCTCTTTTGTATTCATTCTCTTTTTAAAGGTATAGCTTAATGACACTATTATCTCAATACAAATTACCACATTAACTCATTGTTGACAGCAAATGTTGAAATACTTGATGTCAAGGTTCTGCTGTAAGTTTTAAAAAAGCGTACGTCCACCATGACAGCAATAATGTGAAAATTATGTAATAATAAACCACAGTTAAGCCAAAATGACCGAATTATGGCCAAATTTTGTTCCTGTTAGAAACTTTATGGAATGTCATTGCATATAGTCAATATAAGATTTTCTGGGCATCAATTTTGGACTTTCTAGATATTAGAGTACAATAGTGAATAAAGCAGGTAAGATTTCTAACCAAAAAAACTTAATATGCTATACTGCCTCTACCTCACTTTTTCTCCAAATATTCCGTTCACCCTTTCACATTGTCCAGGTCCCTGGTTCCTATGTTCTCTTCAGAGAGGCCTTCTCTCACCAACCTTTCAAAAAAAAGCCTCTGCCCTTGAATTTTCAACCCTTCCTCCCCATTACTATTGTCTATCCCTTACCCAGTTTTACTTGTCTTCACTGTACTTCCTAATTATTTAACCATCTTTTTCATTAAGTATGTAAACTCCATAGGTACAGGATTATGAATTCTGGTCAGTGAAGGCAGCCATTAGCAGATATAAATATCAGAGGTAAGTACAATGAGATCATGAGTAATTGGGATGAGAAAGGAGCATTAATTTAACTAGGAGTATCAGCAAAGGCCTCTCTGAAAAGGTGACAGCTTACTTGAGACCAGAAAGTTGAAAAATCAGCCATGAGAAAACACCCAAGCAGAGCCTAAGTAAAGAAAAAGGATAAAGGCCAGAATGATTGGAGCAGTGAAGGAAAATATAACAGGAGATGGGGATGAATACATCAGAGACCAGTTCAAAAGCCAGGCTTTTCTAAGAGTTTGATGATGTTTTCCCTCTAAGAACAAGAAGCCACTGAAGGGTTTCAACAAGGAAATGATAATTAAACTGGCTGTTACATGAAGTCAGAAACTTGGAAAAGCAACAATGGCCATGGGGATACCAGTTACAAGAACAGTAAAGAAGAGGTTCAAACTAGGCAGCATCCACAGAAATGGATAGAACAGTAGTTGAATTATGCCTTTAGATATATTTACAGTATGTGTAGATACACTGATTCTCAGCATTGATTAAAAGAAAGAATTAAGACAACCCCTGGGTTTGAGGCTTGAGCAACCAGTAAATAGTAATGTCTTTTAATGACGTGGAAAAAATGGGAAAGGAACAGGCTTAAGGAAAAGGTGAGTTTCACCTTGGATATGTTAAATTTGAGGTATTCACTTAACAGGTAGAGGGGTTAAGTGGGCAACTGAATTCATGTGATCAGAACATAGGAAAGAGGTCATTAATACACTACTACTAACAAGTAAGTTATTAGTAAAGAAATAAAAGAAAAAATTGAATATGAATCTATTCCTTTCCAAACCCTTTGACTATTTTCCTTTCTAAATCTCTTATTATGCAATTTCCCAATCAGAATTATTCTCTTTATTTCTGCTCCTTGACATTTTATAACTTAGCTTTGTAATATATCCTGCCATACACTATAGTGACTTATGAAGCTTCTAATCCTACTTTGCTACATATAAGCAATATGAGAGAACAAAGCCATTGAATAGCTTTTAACACCTGATAAACTCTTGTATTACAGAAGCTTGAAATTCATTGCACTGAATTGAATTTGGTAAATATAGGTAAGTTATATAAAACAAGATTATGCATATACTCTACCAAGTAGGATCAAAGAAATTTAACACAAAGCATAATTCAAATATACTAACCGGCGAGTCCTGTTTCCAAAGCATAATCAATATGCTCAATACATAAAAATTCCACAAGAATGGTAAAAATTCTAAAGGCATTCCTTGGTAAATCAGAGGGATCAGAGAGCTTTAAAAACAAAAAACAAAAAATATCATTCCTCAAGTTTACATTTTAAAACAGCCAACTGTTCTTTTCCAATCAATTTTATATAAGACATAGTATTTCAGGTATCAGAAAAAGTCACTGCCCCCAACATCCCCTCCCAAACAATTATAATGCTCCACACTTGTTTGTAACTCTCACGACTTAGAACAACATTTTTCAAACATGGATTGCAATCCATTAGTGGATCACTTTCATAAAACATACATGGAAGCTCCCAAATATACACATACGTTAACATGTGTGCACTGGGCTACCATATAAACTACGTATCTTATTGTGGGTCACAATCAAAGAGGTTAGAAAGTCAATGACTAAATGTGGGCTCTTCTAGTAAAACTCACAAATGATTATCTTGCTGGGGAGTGCAGTTGGGGAAATCTGTAACAGTAGCATTAGAAAATACAACAAGCTCAAATCTCAGCTTTATCATATCCTGCTTAAGTTAATCTTTAAAATGCTATTTAATTCTACCAGTCCCCAATTTCTTCATTTGTAAGGTAGAAATAATAGTGACTACTTATATTCTAGCCTTGAGGTAAGAATAAAATATGAAAATTAATGTGAAATGTTTTTAACACAGTTATTTGGCATACAGTAAAGCTCACAATGTTGTTGTTGTTACTGATAAACTATTTAGTAAAAGAATGATTAGTAGTTACACTGAAAAAATAAATTCTTCAAAAATTAGAAAATTACTCTGGCTTTCTTAAAACTGCTTTCTATATTATGCATAAGCTGATTTCAGCCTTTGTCAAACCTATTTGTACATTCATGCATACTCTCAGGATAATGCTTATCATCTGATATATAAAGCTGGGAGTTGATGAAAAACTCCATAACCCACTTTAAATCCTCACTGATTATAATTATTGATTTGATACCATTCAATTTCCTTCCTGGTTTCTTATTAACAACCCCATCTGCTACCCCTTATTAGTTTAACTCTGAATCCTTACTTTGTTCACTGCTGTTCCCTCCTCTGGTTTACAACTAAACATCCATGCATAATAGAAGGGGTAGATGGACAACTGGTAAGGACAGACTTGATCAACACAATTTTCTGGTTCTGACACTTAACAGAATACTCTGTCCAATAACAAAATATCAGGATATACAGTAAGTATACACAAATCATTTACCAAGATGGACTATAATCTGGGCTAAAAAATGTCTCAATAAATTTAAAAAGATTCACATCATACAAAACATGTCCTTAGACCACCATGAATCAAACTGAAAACAGAATTAACAAATCTCTAAATATTTAGAAACCTTGAAATCACCTGTTGGCCAAAATAAATCAAAAGAGAAATTAAAAAATATTTTTAAGTGAATGGAAGGAAAATACAGCAAATCAAAATTTGGGAGAAGAAGCTAAAACAGTAGCTACAAGGAAATTTAAGACTAACTTCTTGTATTTCCTATATTAGGGAAAAGAAAGGTCTTTAATCAGTGACCTCAGCTTCCATATTTAAAAATAAGAAACAAGGGCAAAGAAACCAAAGAAAGAGGAGGAAAAAGAGAATAAAAAGTAAAAGGCAATGAAAAACAAAACAGGAAAACAACAATGAAACAAAAAGTTGGCTCCTTGGGAAAAATCAGTAATTCAATAAACTCTACAGATTAATCAGGAAAAAAATTATAGATATCAGGAATAAAAGAGGTGACAGCTATACATATTCTAAAGATATTAAAAAGAAAATAGAGTATCATGAATAACTTTATTCCAGTACAAGTTTCATGAAATATTCAAATCTTTAACTACCAAAGCTAACTTAAAAGGAAGTGAGTAATCTGAATCTCTCTATATCTATTAAGTAAACTGAATGTTTGTTTAAAAACTTTGCAAAGAAAATCATAGCCCCAAATGATTTCATCGTTGAGTTCCATGAAACATTTAAACAAAAAAAATCACACACAAAAAATAAAGAAAATTAAAAATAAAAAGTTTACACCAGAAGACTGAAAGGTATATATGTGTGTGTGTAAATACTTCCCAACACATCCTGTGAGGCCAGTATTACCAAAATAGCAAAACTAGATAATGATAGTAAAGGAAAATAGGGGACGGCGCTCTGGTGTAATGGGTAAAGCCGCCGCCTGCAGTGCCAGCATCCCATATGGGCACTGGTTCGAGTCCTGGCTGCTCCACTTCCAATCCAGCTCTCTGCTATGGCCTGGGAAAGCAGTGAAAGATGGCCCAAATCCTTGGGCCCCTGCACCCACGTGGAAGACCTAGAAGAAGCTCCTGGTTCCTGGCTTCAGAGTGGCATAGCTCCTGACATTGCGGCCAAGTGGGGAGTGAACCAGTAGATGGAAGACCTCTCTCTCTCCCTCTCTCTGCCTCTCGTTCTCTCTCTGTGTAACTCTTTCAAATAAATAAATAAATCTTAAAAAAAAAAGGAAAATATATGCCAATATTCCTCATGAACACAGAAATAAAAAACTCAACAAAAGTTTAGTAAACCTAATCCAATAAACAGGACAACAGCAAATAGATGACCAACAGTGTAACAAACATTTGAGAAAGAAGTGATATAATTCACCAAAATACGAGAATAAAAAGAAAGCATTGCAAAAAATCTAATATCTAACCCTTATTTAAAAAACAGCAAATGAAATAAAGAATTGTCTCAATCTGGGGAAAAAATCATTTATGAAAAGTCTGAAGTTAGCATCATGCTTTATGGTGAAACACTGAATGCTTTGCTCCAAAGATCAGGAATAATGCCAGGTATTCACTCTCATCCCTTCTATTCAACATTGTGTGGAGTCTGGACAGAATCATAAAGTGAAAACAAAATAAAAGGCACATATATAGGAAAGGAATGTCACTTGTCTTCATGGGCAGACAATGTGATAGTGTCTGTGGAATTTATAAGAAAAGCGATATTGCCGGCGCCGCGGCTCACTAGGCTAATCCTCCGCCTAGCGGCGCCGGCACACCGGGTTCTAGTCCCGGTCGGGGCGCCGGATTCTGTCCCGGTTGCCCCTCTTCCAGGCCAGCCCTCTGCTGTGGCCAGGGAGTGCAGTGGAGGATGGCCCAGGTGCTTGGGCCCTGCACCCCATGGCAGACCAGGAAAAGCACCTGGCTCCTGGCTCCTGCCATCGGATCAGCGCGGTGCGCCGGCCGCAGCGCGCCGGCCGCGGCGGCCATTGGAGGGTGAACCAACGGCAAAGGAAGACCTTTCTCTCTGTCTCTCTCTCTCACTGTCCACTCTGCCTGTCAAAAAAAAAATAAAAAAAAAAATAAAAAAAAAAAAAAAAAAAAGAAAAGCGATAATGTAATTATGATAGTGGAACCTACAAAACAAGCTATTGAGGGGTCAGCGCTGTGGCATAGTGGGTAAAGCCATAGCCTGCAGCGTCTGCATCCCATATGGGCACCAGTTCAAGTCCTGGCTGCTCCACTTCTGATCCAGCTCTGGGATATGGCCTGGAAAAGCAGTAATAGATGGCCCAAGTCCTTGGGCCCCTGCACCCGTGCAGAAAGACCGGAGGAAGCTCTTGGCTCCTGGCTTCGTACTGGCTCAGCTCCAGCCGTTGCGGCCAACTGGGGAGTGAACCAGCGGATAGAAGACTCTCTCTCTCTGCCTCTCCTTCTCTGTGTAACTCTTTCAAATAAATAATCTTAAAAAAAAAAGAAGAAAAGCTATTAAGCTTAGGTTGTAGGTTTCAGAATCTAATTTCATTTCTCTCCATACATAACATCTAGTTTTTCTAGGACCATTTATTTCTGAGATTATCCTCTCTCAAATGTCAAAAATCAGTTGGCAGTATGTTTTGTGAATTAATTTCTGGGCTCTTTATCTTGTTCCATTAATCTATGTGTCAGTTTTTATGCCAGTACCAAGCTGTTTTAATTCCTATAGCTTTGTAGTATGCTATGTATGTCGTATGCAGTCAGGTAGGCGATGCTTCCAGTTTGATTCTTTTTGCTCAGGACTGCTTTGGTTATTCTGGGTCTTTTGTGATTCCATATGAATTTTTGGTTTGTTTTTCCAAGGGTCCAGTATCAACATATATTAAAAAAAGCACAGTATTTCTGTATATTAACTCAGTGAAACTATAAATTATGTAAGTTTTAGAAAGATCTATATTATAACAGCAGAAAAATGTCAGTTTTCTCCAAACAGAACTGTATATTCAAGGCAATCTCAATCAAAATCTAGGCTTTTTTTTAAGAAACTGACAAGCCACTGTCAGACTTAATATGCAAATAAAATGTGATTTATACATGAGAGAACTTACACTATCTGACTGATTTATGATAAAGCAATTAAGACAGCACAGTACCAGCATAAAGACAAACAGAACAACAGAATAAAGCCAGAAACAGACCCACATAGAAATGGTCAACTGATTTACCACTGTGGTTCAAAACCAATTTGGAGGAAAAAGAAGTTTTGTGCATAAGCAATGGTGAAACAACCAGGTGGATACCTAATTGTAAAAAAAAAAAAAAAAGAACTTTGATCCATAAACTGTATGACTTACAAAAGTCAACTCAAAACTGATCACAGCACCTGCACAGAACTTCTCTAGGGAACTGCCAAGTTATTCCTCAAAGTAACTACATCAGTTTTCATGCCTGCTGACAGTACCCGAAAAATTTCATTGCTCTAGTTCCTTACCAATATTTGGAACTGTGAGACTTCTTAATTTATGCCAACCAAATGAAATGAGATGGTATCTCTCTTATTTTAAGTTTCATTTCCCTAAAAATGAAATCGAATATCATTTGATGATTTATATTTTCTTTATTGTAAATTGCCTATGTGTATTCTTTGATTTGTTTTCTGTTGACTTACATTTCCATGTGTAATTTATATTGATCTATTATTCCTCAATATAAATAGGTTATACATAGCTACAAAAATAAAAGATTGATACTGCCTCAACTCTCAATTTCATTACTTAGGGTCTATGTATACATGTTTCAAAATGGAATGACAAGCTTACAGGGCTGTTACAACCATTAAATGAGTTTACATATATACTTAAGGGGCTTATAATAGTGCCCAGAACACAGTTCCTCTTATTTCAAATAATCTCATGCTGGTATTGTTAGTTACTATGACTTAACTGCTTATTTTGTTTACTTATGTGTTTGTTGGAGAAATATTAAATTTTAATGGAATCAAATTATCATTCTTTACCTTTGTTATCTATTTTCTTAAAATGTTCTCTTCTTGATATTCCAATTTTCTATGAAAAAGTTCTAACTGTCCCTTTCACATCATTTAATACTTTACAGAATAGGCCGGCGCCGCGGCTCACTAGGCTAATCCTCCACCTAGCGGCGCCGGCACACCGGGTTCTAGTCCCGGTTGGGACGCCGGATTCTGTCCCGGGTGCCCCTCTTCCAGGCCAGCTCTCTGCTGTGGCCAGGGAGTGCAGTGGAGGATGGCCCAGGTGCTTGGGCCCTGCACCCCATGGGAGACCAGGAAAAGCACCTGGCTCCTGGCTCCTGCCATCGGATCAGCGCGGTGCGCCGGCCGCGGCGGCCATTGGAGGGTGAACCAACGGCAAAGGAAGACCTTTCTCTCTGTCTCTCTCTCTCACTGTCCACTCTCCCTGTCAAAAAAAAAAAAAAAAAAATACTTTACAGAATAAAAATCTGATCTACTCAACTTTAATCTAAATTATGTTAAAATTTATTCCTAATTTTAAAAATAATTCTATCCTCCAAAACAAAAATCCTATCTTTTGGTTATCAAAAAATAGCTGATCCTAAACAGACAGTAAATTTTGTTTTAGTATAAACAAGGTAAAATTTAAAATACCTAAGTATATACAAATAAAATAAATTTACAATCATTCTTACCCTATGACATCTTTCAAAGGCTTGTTTGGTTTCTTGTAAAAGATTAACCACCACTTCTTGGGATAGGAAAGTTTCCCCATGGGTATCAATACTTGGCCCCAGTGGTAAGTTGGTACGTTGTCTAATTCTCTCTTTCAAATCCTGAATACTAGAACATCAGATACAAAAATGAAAAAAGAACACTTTATCATACACAGATTTTTTTACTTCAAGTACTATCAAACTCAATACACAAGAACAACAGAAACAAAACAAGAATAAATAGCCAAGAGACCTAAGTCCTAATTCAATAACTACTTCATGAGGGAAGAATTGATCTCTAAACAGAAGACATTCACTTGAAAAATTAGTGGATTTTGGAGTCACAACTTCTAAAGGACCTTTGGGTCTTACAATTCTCACTAAATAATCAAAAACGAATTTGGGGCCGGGGCCGTGGCTCACTAGGCTAATCCTCTGCCTGCGGCGCCTGCACTCTGGGTTCTAGTCCCGGCTGGGGCGCCGGTTCTGTCCTGGTTGCTCCTCTTCCAGTCCAGCTCTCTGCTGTGGCCCGGGAGGGCAGTGGAGGATGGCCCAAGTGCTTGGGCCCTACACCCACATGGGAGACCAGGAGAAGCACCTGGCTCCTGGCTTCAGATCGGCACAGCACGATGGCCATGGTGACCATTTTGGGGGTGAACCAACGGAAGGAAGACCTCTCTCTCTCTGTCTCTCTCTCTGTCTAACTCTGCCTGTCAAAAAAAAATTTATTTGTTTTTCTCAGGCAGTAAGTTACTCCAATAAATTAATATTCCAGATAATTAAACTATCCTGTTTAAAAATAAAACTTTAAAGTTTTAATATCTGAAAACATATTTAATCATCTAAACATACTACATATTTCTTTACTGTATTAAACAGTACTTACAAACAATTATTTAGCTGTTCTTAATGAGTGAGGGTAGCCTGGAACACTTATTGCTTTAGAAGGTTAAAATCTTTCTTGCTCCTAGAATACATATGTAGCTTCCAGCTACTATGAACTCATTTTTAAGAAATTCTTATGATCGCTCTTTAGTTTTTCTCATCCTTTTCCTGCTATTGCCTTTCAGATGTTACTTCTTAGTTCTAATTACAACCTCTCTCTGATCACTATTTAATACACAATAAACTTGGAAACAAGAGACGGATTTGTGGGGCCTGCGTTGTAGTTTCTTCCAGGTCTCCCACAAGAAGAAGCTACTAGCTTCGGATCGGCACAGCTCCGGCCGCTGCAGCCGACTGGGGAGTGAACCAGCAGATGGAACACCTCTCTCTGCTTCTCCTTCTCTGTGTGTAACTTGGACTTTCTCCTTCTGTGTGTAACTTTCACTTTCAAAAAAATAAATAAATCTTAAAAAAAAAAAAAAAAGAGCATGATACATCTCAGCCTACCCTCTCCATTCCTCCCTTTTTTCAAATTTTTAAATGACATAATTTCAATTTTGTTTACAATCACAAGCTTAATCCTCCACTAAACACGGAATTCAACAAGTTGTAAGTAGAAAAAGGATATGTATAGACAAGGGCTACAAACAATAATCAAATCTCAAAATGTCAATTTTGCTTAGAAACATTACTTTTTTTGTACTCTGTATATTAGTTACCACAAATCAGGGAAAACATATTTGTCTTTTGTGGATTGGCTTATTTCCTAAGCATTATCATTTCCAGTTGCATCCATTTTGTTGCAAAAGACAGGATTTAATTCATTTTTATGTCTGAGTAGTAGTCCATCGTGTTTATAGACCACATTTTCTTTATCCAGTCATCAGTTGGTAGATATCTGGGTTGATGCTGTATCTCAGCTATTCTGAGTTGAACTGCTATAAACATGGGGGTACAGATATGCTGATTTCATTTCCTTTGGGTTAATTCCCAGGAGTGGAATGGCTGGGTCATACCTTAAATCTACTTTCAGGTTTCTGAAGAATCTCCACACTGTCTTCCATAACAGTTGTACTAGTATACATTCCAACCAACAGAGTATTAGGGTACTTTTCACCCGTATCCTTGCCAGTATCTGTTAACCTTTGATTTTTAGATGACAGTCATTCTAAGTGGGGTAAAGTGAATCCTCATCATGCCTTTTATTTGCATTGTCCTGATGACTTGTGACCCTGAGCATCTTTTCATGTGTCTGTTTGGCCATCTACATTTTATCCTTTGAAAAATGCCTGTTTATATCTTTAGGTCAATTCTTAACTGGATTGCTTGTTTTGTTGTTGACTTTCTTGAGCTCCTTATATACCCTGGATATTAATCCTTTATCAGATGTGAAACAGCAGATGGACGCTTGCTCACTCGCTCTCACTCTCTCCCTAGCTCTGCCTTTCAAATAACTAAATAACTAAATAACTATTTTTAAGAGACACTGATTTGGGTTTGCACGGGTGTGGACTCTGCATTCACAGAAATCATTCCGCCTTCTTCTAGAAACAACTGGGTGCCAAGTGGTTAGGGTCCAGGTAACTGAAAGCCAATTCTTACACATCACTTTCTTCCAGTATGTGAATAATCATTGGTTTTCAAGTATTAATTTAACTTTTATGCCCAAGTCATTGAAAAAAATTCATCAATTTGAGTACCTAAATTGTGAACTATCTGCTATATTTTCAAACTCACAAAAGTAACAAACAAAAAAATGATAAACTTCCACAAAAATAACCTGAAATAATTTACTCTGGCAGAAAAAAAAAAAACTACAGAACTCTTTATATTACTGCTATTCTGCTTTACATTTTTAAAAGTTAATTTTTTAAAAAACTAACAAACATCTGCTAAACATTATAATCATGTTATATTAATTTATTTCAATATGTGGTCAAGAGTTGAAATGTCAACATGATATGAACAACTGGGTTAAAAGTTCTATACTAAAAATTCTGGGGCTGGCACTGGGGCGCAGCAGGTTAACGCCCTGGCCTGAAGCGCTGGCATCCCATATGGGCGGCAGTTCTAGTCCCGACTGCTCCACTTCCAATCCTGCTCTCTGCTATGGCCTGGGATAGCAGCAGAAGATGGCCCAAGTCCTTGGGCTCTTGCACCTGCGTGGGAGACCCGGAGGAAGCTCCTGGCTCCTAGCTTCGGATCGGTGTAGCTCCAGTCGTTGCAGCCAACTGGGGAGTGTACCAGCGGATGGAAGACCTCTCTCTCTCTCTCTCTGCCTCTCCTTCTCTCTCTGTGTAATTCTGACTTTCAAATAAATAAATAAATCTTAAAAAAAGGAAAAAGAAAATTCTAATGACAGTCAATATTTTCTATGCTTGCCCAAATTGAAAAAAAAAAGTTCTTAATCTCTTCAGTTTTAACTATAATATTTAACAAGAACACTCACCCTCCTGTGCCAATGGATCTCTTTTGATGATTTTTTGAATCATAATAACGCTGTAGGATCATAGCACTTCTGCTTTTCAGATATCCAGTCTCCACTTCAATATAGTTCTCCAAATAGGAAATGAAAATGGATTTGATAAGCTTGGACAAGAAAGTCTGTTTATCAGTACCCAAATTAAACTCCATCAACTTGCTGGAAAGATTGGTGGTTCTTTTGATGGAAAAGGGGGAGAAAAAGATTAATGTATATTTATTTAGGTATAGCAACAGTACTGAGGAATATACGTTTACAATTTGACTTTAATGAATTACATTAAACTACCATTTCTTAATCCTTAAGATGAGTACTTAAGATGCAAAGAGTGGCTCTACAGGATTTTATATAAATTAGAATGGAATATTAAAAATCACATTATGACTGACAACTATCCCAAGCACCTCTGGATGTTCTAGGAGAAGAAACTGTGAGGTAAAGAAGCAGTCTAGACATGACAACAGTGGCAAAAGACTCCATTGCCTCAAGTATGCTCGAGTGCCATTCGCCACAGAGCACCCGAAACAGAGCCTTGGGAGATCTGCTCTCGGTTCAGCCCCTTTCCTCTTTGTCCTCGTGAACTTTCCTCTAATTTTCTATCTCCTATTGTTGAAGATAGGTACACAATAATCTTGTGTTTGACTGGGACTTCTTCATTAGGGTAACTTTTGTAGAACCTTCTCTCAAAATGAAGACACTGAAGAAAAGCAATAGAATTGGAAAAGGTCAAGAACAAAAGTTCCAATGAAGCTTCTGAGACAGCATCTGTATAGTAACAATACTAAGAAATATGTATTTTTACAATATGCTTTTAATTAAGCAACAACTTCTTAGACTTTGGGAGAATACGACTTAGGATGCAGAGAGCAGCTCAACAGGGATATATATAAAGTACAATAGACTATACAGATATTTGAAAAAAAGTACAATAGATTACAAATATTTAAAAGTACAAGACAAATTCTCACATCACTTAAAGCTGAAATTGTTATTTGTTACAAATATCACTCCCTTTTGAATTTTCTGCAAGTTTTAACTTCAGATAAATGTAACTACACTAATTTATAGGTGAAAATGATACAGAATAGTGAAACAGCCACAATTAAATTCAGAAAAAAAAAGTTGAGTCTTAAGTTTAAATAAGGTCTTATGTTTCATCATTAAAGAACATTAACATAAAGCATAGCATCCAATTCCTAAGGTTAATGCACTAAGAACACTGCTCTTGCATATTACTACTCTATATGGCCATGCATTTAATGCTAAAAGGCATACTGCTATCTGACAAAATGTTATTCAGACGTACCTGAATATTTCCCCATTTTCTATTTAAAAAATCTGAGATGGATTATTATTTTCTAACAATTAAAAATATACCTTGTATATAGATCATAGAGGTTTTTGAGATACTGCTCTGCATCAGATTTCCTACATTCTTCTAACTGGTCTTTCACAAAACCCTAAAGAAAAAAAAAAGTCAACATTCTATTAATTAAGTAAATATTAAATTCTTTAACTTCCCAAGATTTTTCTTTTAAAGATTTATTTATTTTATTATTTCAAAGAGTTACACAGAGAAAGAAGGAGAGGCAGAGAGAGAGAGAGAGAGAGAGAGAGAGAGAGAGAGGTCTTCCATCGATGGTTCGCTCCCCAATTGGCTGCAACGGGTAGAGCTGTGCCGACCTGAAACCAGGAGCCAGGAGCTTCCTTGGGGTCTCTCACGTGGGTGCAGGGGCCCAAGCACTTGGGCCATATTCCACTGCTTTCCCAGGCCATAGCAGGGAGCTGGATTGGAAGTGGAGCAGCCGAGTCTGAAATTGTCGCCCATATGGAATGCCAGCACTGCAGGAGGCAGCTTTTACCCGCTACACCACAGCACCGGCCCCAAGATTTTTTTTTTTGTCTCTAAAATTCTTCCATAGTTTGAATTACACTGACTTAAAATCCAATCAGGAAAGCAACACCAAGGGCTGGCATTGTGACTCAGCTTGCAAGGCCAGCATCCCAAACTGGAGCTACAGTTCGAGTGCCAGCTGTTAGGCTTCTGATCCAGCTTCCTGCTAACAAGCCTGGGAAGGAGGTGGAGGATGGCCCAAGTGCTTGTGTCCCTGCCATCCCTGTAGGAGACCCAGATGGAGTTTCTGGCTCCTGGCTATTATCACCATTTGGAAAGTGAACATCCAGATGGAAAATCTCTGTTTTCTTCTTTCCTTGCTCCATCCCTCCTTTTCTCTCCCTCTCTGTGTTCTTCTTTCCTCCTTCCTTTCCTCCCTCTTCCTCTCTACCTCCCTCTGTCACTCTGCCAAACAAATAAATACATAAATCTTCAAAGGCAATTCAGAGAAACAGACCAATCATAAAAATTAAAAAGGGGAAAAGGAGCTGGAACTGTGGCACAGCAAATTAAGCCCCATCTGCAGTGCCAGCATCCCCTATGGGTACCGGTTCCATTCCCAGCTACTCCATTTCCAATCCAGCTCCCTGATAATGTGCCTGGGAGAACAGAGGAGGATGGCCCAAGTTCTTGGGCTCCTGCACCAACAGGGGAGACCCAGAGGAAACTCCTTGCTCCTAGCATCATCCTGGCCCAGCTGCGGCCATTTGCAGCCAACTGGGGAGTGAATCATCAGATGGAAGATCTCTGACTTTCAAATAAATAAATAAGCCTTTAAAAAAACCAAAATTTTATTTTCTGTTTCTCCTATTTGCTTGCAGAAAATCCCGTTCAGTCTTCGGAGTAAGTATTATGAGTTTAGAAATACCCTTTCTTTTGAAACTGGCTTATTCTGCCTCATGAGGTATTTAAAACAGACAAACAAATTCAATCAAACAACTGAAACCACACCACCAGCATCAATGTCTTACAGCACATTTCCCAAACTGTGGTCCAGGCAGTGCCAGTGTCCCTTTAGATATTACCAGGCATGACTATAAAATAAGGTTTCTTGGTCAATGTGAGAAATGCTGTACACTAAAATCCCATTTCTAAAGAATCACAACTTGTAAGGCTACTGAAAGTCCTAAACTGCATTAACAACAACAACAACAAAAAATATACTGAATGTTGCTTAATCCAGCAGTAAACATAGTTTAGGAAGTGTTTCCTGAAAGTATAGTGCTACAGCATTCAAGGTTGTAAATTAAATTCCTGTGCTTTTCCTTTTTAAGCTGATATCATTACTAAAAATTCTACAGACTAAACTTATAATTCTTGTTTAATTCTATAAAAGTCATCTATCAGGCAAAATGAAGACGAACAAAAATTGAGGCTATCTTACTACAGTATCTCTCTACTACTAGAGCTATACAAACTTCACGCACGTACCCTGATGGCGGTGACTGACACTTTTTCCTTGATGAATATCAAAACATTATTTAAAAAGCATGATACTAGCATTCCCTTGCCCTTAACTGATTACTATTTCTAAGGTCCCTAAAGAAAGGGTCTTCAAAAAGTCCAGACACTGCCATGGAACCTTCACCGGGATATCACACCCCCCTGATGGCTCCTCAGCTGAGCAGCACGTACTGGGGTTGGGCGGTGAGGGAGGGTGGTGGCAGCTTCCTGGCCCTGCTTGTGCTGGGTGGGCGTCTCCCAGAGTTTATGGAGTAATACCAAGGTCTGGCCTGGTTTGGGTTGGGCAGGGGAGCCTATTGTCCCGCCATGCTGTGAGGGTCTTAATAACCCAAAAGATACTTTCCCAAGTCCTGGGAGGGTGGCTCAGTGACACTGCTTTGGACATTACAGTCTCCAGTTGTCAGCAATCCTAGCCCCAAGCCAACACAGGTGCTTCTGGATTGGGGTGTGATGCTGGGTTGGTGGAACGAGGTGGGAATTGAACCCAGCCACTCGATGGGGTGGAACTCTCTCAGTGGAATGAGCTGATCTTTAAATGCAGCTGATTTGTAGCCAGGGTGGGCACAGAAACCACAAGCTGAGGGTGGAAGCCACTGGGACGCCTCTTGAGTACCCTGTGTAAGTTCCTGGTTACTTCTCCATTCTTGCCTCCTGGTAATGCTGCCCGTCTCCACTCCCTCCCCATGCCAGAGGTGAGAGCCTCTACCACCCACCTGGGATCAGACACTGCCCTCCCACCTCCTGGCTTCGGCCCTCCCTCTGGCCATTTTAGGCCTTTGGGGGCAGCACCAGAAGATTGGGGGGGGGGGGGAGGGTCTCACTCGAAATAAAAGTTTTAAAAGAAAAAAGAAAAAAAAATTCAGAGTACGTGAATTATGAAAAACCTATGCTTAGGGGCCGATGCTGTGGCGCAGCAGGTTAACGCCCTGGCCTGAAACACCGGCATCTCATATGGGCACCAGTTGGAGAATCGGCTGCTCCACTTCCAATCCAGCTCTCTGCTATGGCCTGGGAAAGCAGTAGAAGATGGCCCACGACCTTGGGCCCCTGCACCCACACGGGAGACTGGGAAGAGACTCCTGGCTTCGGATCAGTGCAGCTCCAGCTATTGCAGCCAACTGGGGAGTGAACCATCGGATGGAAGACCTCTCTCTCTCTCTCTCTCTCTGTAACTCTTTCAAATAAAAATAAATAAATCTTTTTAAAAAAAAAGGAAAATAAAAACCTATGCACAGATTTCAAAATTCTTTTATATCAAAATAAACCTATCTTTTAATTCCATTTTTCCACAAGTACTTTAAGTAAACTAAATTAACAATGTTCTAATATTAAAAAAATATACATTGACAAGAAGTGCTTAATTCATTATTTAAAATTACCTGTAATTTGATTTCAAATACGTTTTGAATAAGTTTAGCAAGTACTGTTTCTGGATTACTAAAGATATCTCCAACTTGTTTGTTCACACGTTGACAGAGTATTGCTGCATCTTCAAATATATCATTTCTCATGTAAGCACCCTACACAACAAAGGCATTTTACATAATAAACAATTTTAGGTGGTTTTAAAACACAAATTAGCATAAAATAAAATCCAATGAAGTGTACTGAAATGTTACCTCCTGGCACTGCTTTATATAAACATCAACACAATGGGAATAACCCTAGGAAGAAGAAACATATTGTTACCACTGATCTGTTTCAACTGTAACAAAAATCACCCCAATAAAAGAAGCTCTATATATAATAAAGCTGTCCTATATCCCGGGGAACAGTCAATAGTAATAGCTGTTAGATTAATTATAGTGAATCAATAACTTAATATGTCCTCGCCCTCTCTCACACTTTCAAGAAATTTTATCAGCTGGTTTATATCTGTGTTGGACTTTAAGACTGAAAGAAGGGGAAAAAAAAGACTGAATGAAGAAAATTGATACAACTGAATTCTTTACAGTAATTTCTGTCCTATGATAATCTTCAATTCACACAAACATACACACAAAGACTCAGGGTCTTGAGAAAAAGCTTTGCATACCCATGCACATTTTCTTCTTTCTTAGATTCAAAGCATTTTCTCTCTCTTGCAAGAGTTTAGACAGAGCTGTGTTTAACTGGTAGTTTTAATAAAATGTGTTGAAACAAACTAATGCATCATATTACACTTGCTATATTGAGATTTTTGCCTACTGACAAATCACTATACTGTCTCAAGAGCCATTCTCAATACTCTCTATTCAGAAGTTACCAAAATGAAAAGTCCAACAAACATCTTCCATTTTCCTAATCTGATAAAAAATGAAGAAACACCTGAAGGACGAGTCTTTCTTCAAACCTCTTCTTTACAGAAATAACCTCATAGGGATTTACTCTCCAATTCAAATTCCAGGAAGATGGCTCATAATATGACATTTCTTTGTATTCAACACCTGAGATTCCCTGTATTTAAGGCTTTTACTTCACAAGTCAAATTCCATCTACTCCCTGGTTGCTACATTCCACCAGATATTTACAGTCAGGTCTTTGCTTTGGATCTATTATAACACACTTGACTGAAAAAAGGATGTACTGACAACCAAGAAGGCAGATAACATGATTCTATTAAACTACAGAAAACTCACTGATATTTTATTGAATATCAAGTCCTTATTTAAATATTAAATACTTAATATCATCAATGAAGAGAGACATAAAATGTACAAATTATCAAAACAATAAAAATTTTCTATTGTAACATAGTTACACAACTATCAGGAAAATCTGAGACTATAATATATAGAACATGAAATATCTTCTCAATCTTAAAGACTAGTTTTTATTTAAAATTTTTAAAAATTTTTCTATGTACCTTAAAATGAAGTAAAACTGCTGCTACTTCTCTCATTCTGGAGATTTCACCTCTTCTTTGAGCACTGGTAAACTCCTGAATCAGCTGGCATTCTAAATCATGATATTTACCTAGAAACAGTCATCCAGTTATACTGAGGTATAAGATAGCCAAAGTATTTATGAATATCTGAATTATTTGCAAGTATAATGACTGCGGATCTAGCCTTCTCTTAAAAAAATTACAAAAACAACATGGAGATTTTAGCCCTTATAATATACTATAGTATATATGTCTATATATTCAAAGACACAAAAAAACTTCTAAAGTTATAAAATAGTTGAGCTCCTTGTGTCTGTTATTTAAACCAGCAGCTCATAAGAAAAAACCTTTCCAGATGCCAGTTCTGACAGCAAAAATAGGAAAAATCTGAAACCTGAAGTTATGGAAAAGGTGAGAATGACTTGGTAAGACACTTTACTATGGTTTAGATGCCTCATTCATGAACAATGGTGAATGAACATGAAATTTTATCTTGATAATAGGTGGTATTCGATCTACTACATTCTTGAAGAAAATACAGTTCTTAGTGAACACCTGAATTTGAGATTAATCTGTAGTGAACAAAAATATTCCCAGGAAATCCAACTGTCATCCTTATTTGAAGACCTTTAGGAAGGTAAATATACTCCAAAGAGCTTATAGAAACACGGAATTAAATGGTAAATTCAGGGTGAGCACTTAGAAAAGCAGAGCACTTAGAAAAGCAGTTAAGACATCACTTGGGAAGTCCACATCCCATTCTAGAGTGTGCATGTTTGAGTCCAGACTTCACTTCCTATTCCAGCTTTTCTTTTTTTTTTTAATTCTATTTTTATTTATTTATTTGACAGGTAGAGTTATAGACAGTGAGAGAGAGACAGAGAGAAAGGTCTTCCCTCCGTTGGTTCACTCCCCAGATGGCCACCATGGCCAGCGCTGTGCCGATCCAAAGCCAGGAGCCAGGTGCTTCCTCCTGGTCTCCCATGCTGGTGCAAAGCCCCAAGCACTCGGGCCATCCTCCACTGCCCTCCAGGCCATAGCAGAGCTGGACTGGAAGAGGAGCGACCGGACTTAGAACCAGTGCCCACATAGGATGCCGGCACCGAAGATGGAGGATTAACAAGTGAGCCACAGCGGCGGCCCCATACAGCTTTTCAATAATATGTACCCTAGCAGGGAGCAGATAATGGCTCAAGTACTGTACTTACTTGCAATTTTGGATTTTACTTCTGAAAATCTGAAAGATAAAAATGAATAATGAGATCCATTAGTTCTAACAAAAAAACCATGGTGACATAAGATGTAACAAAAGGAGGAAATGGGTGCAGAAATATATGGGAAACCTCTAAACTATCTTTGCCAACTTTCCTATAAAACTGTTATAAAATCTGAAAGTTATTTTATGTATATACACCCACATATATAAGACAGACAAAATTAGGAGAGTACTGATAGAAAGCATGACATAATTAAATTTAGGAAATTCTGATGGTGTAGCTAGTTCTCACTTGGGAAATTTAAATGGAATAATAAATTCCCTTACTAAAGAAGGAACAGTTCTGCATAGCACACTAATAACCCAGCCAGTCTCAAAACTAAGCTACTGCCTCTACTCATATTCACTAGCATGTTAAATTCATTTCATTATTTGTACGTCCCTCCCAACAAGGATTTTTAAAAATAAAGTTTCACTGTTACTATTAAAAATAAAAACAATGGTAAAACAATATGTAATACTAATAATAAGATGATTGCCAAGGGGCTAGCGCCATGGCTCATTTGGTTAATCCTCCACCTGTGGCACAGGCATCCCATAAGGGCGCCAGGTTCTAGTCCCAGTTGCTACTCTTCCAGTTCAGCTCTCTGCTGTGGCCCGGGAAGGCAGTGGAGAATGGCCCAGGTACTTGGGCCCCTGCACCTACATGGGAGACCAGGAGGAAGCACCTGGCTCCTGGCTTCGGATAGGCGCAGTGCGCCAGCCACAGCAGCCATTTTGGGGGTGAACCAATGGAAGGAAGACCTTTCTCTCTGTCTCTCTCTCACTGTCTAACCCTGCCTGTCAAAACAAACAAAAAAAGTGATTACTAAAAGTAAAATGATTAATGATAAAATATATAAATCAATCATTTTAAAACTAGAAAAAACAAATAGAGATCATAAAAAATATCCAGTAACATGACTAGCTGAATAACTATTCAACCTTTACAACGTCAAAAACTAGAATACCAGGGTAAGTGATTACACAGTGGGTTAAGCTGCTGCTTGGAACACCCACATTCCATCAGAGTGCTGGCTAAGTCCCAGGTACTCCACTTCTGATTCAGCTCCCTGCTTATGTGCCTGGGAAGCAGTGGATGATGGTTCAAGTACTTGAGTTCCTGTCACCCATGTACAAGGCTGAGATGGAGTTCCTGGCTCCTAGCTTTGGCCTGGCCCAGCTCCAACTGTTATGGATATTTGGGGAGTGAATCAGCAGAAGGAACATCTTTATCTATCTACCTCTCCTCTGTCTCTATGACTCTGCCTTTCAAATAAATAAGATTAATCTTTAAAAAAGAAAGATTTGGTAAATACAAAATATTTATAAGGTTATATTGTCCTGTGTGAATATATCATATATAATATATACAAATACATATATTTGAAGATACATTAAAGCTCAGCAAAGGGGCTAAAACAAAACAGCGAGAGAGGTACGTAGTTGAGGGGTAAAGAAGATAGTCATCTTATTATTAGTATTAAAGTAAAGAAGTCATTTTATTATTAGTATTACATGTTTGTGTTCAAGTGCAAAAGAACAGAAGGGAGAATGAGATGGAGGATGTAGCCAATCATCATTGTGTACCTATTTTGAGCTAGACATTTTTACCTATTCAAGTAAATCATCCAACTCTAAAATGAGATATAGAGGTCTGGGTGGGAGATTTTAAAAATTATTACAGCACGTTAAATCGTAATGCTTATGAGGTTATTAATAGCTAAAAAGTGGTACGTGATTATTACTGCTCGTCTTTTACGATGAATCTGAGCTGAGAGTAATACATGTATAAATACACATATATGTGTATGTATGTATGCATCCATTTGGGAGTATTCATTGTACATTTCATAGACAACATTGAAGCTTTAAGTGTAGCAATTTATCTACATTTTGTCTGTACCTGAGGATCTTCAAGTATCACCAAAAGATTTTGTTATATAGAAAGTCATATTTCTTTCAGATTCACATAGAGGAACTAATACTACCAAGATTTTATTAAAGAGCCTGGCATCCCATAAACTAGAGGAAATCATGAAAAAATTCCTTCTCAGTGGAAAATTTATTTTATGATGAACTCAAAGTAAACAGTGGCCCTGGACCTGGCATTTACTAAATGAATATTTATTATTTTCATCTACTTGAAAGGCAGAGCAAGAGAAAGATCTTCAGTCTGCTGGCTCACTCCCCAAGTAGCCTGAAACTCCACCAAGATCTTCCATATGGGTGGCACTAGAACCATCTTATACAGTCTCCCAGGATGCATTAGCAGGAGGCTGGATTGGATGCAGAGTATCCGGGACTCCGGTCAGTAATGATTTATGAGATGCAGTCATCCCAAATGGAGGCTCAACCCACTGTGCCACAATGCCCACCTGCGGCCTGGCATTTAAAACAGGGATTCTTAACCTGAAGTCTCTAGAAAGTGTTTTGTGGATAGGCTAAGGAGTCTAAAATGCCTTGAAAATTTATAAAATGCACTGTGTGTATCTTAATTTTTTGAAAAAATTCTATAGCTTTTCAACAGTTTTTCAAAGTTACCCAAGACCACAAAAACCTTAAAACCCTCATCTACAAAAAGGAAAATCAACTGAATAGCCTCATGTTTAATCTCTCCCTGTTTTCAACTTCCCTGGTCCTCCAAGTTCAATACAAAAATTCAAACTTTTACTTAAGTCAATCTCAAAGTTCTCCATTAACTTTTTCAGAAGATAAAGGATTAAAATTATTTCAGGGTATATCATTAAATTTAGATATTAACAGTGGACCTTATTTCTCAATCCAGTATTTTGTACTATATCTTGTACAAAGGAGATGCTCAGTAAATTCTTATTGAATTCATGGGCAAAGAAAATCATAAAGAGAAAAAAACATAATTTCATCTTGTAAAATTACAACACATATTCAAATTAGCTCTTAAGAAATAAACTTGCCTATCAAAAGGTAACTCCTGGGCAATTAGGTGCAACTTCTGGATGATGTCTGCTGCCTCCTTTATCTATTAATAAATAGATTAAAAAGCAATAACTTTATTAAAAACTCTTATGAATATCAAAGATAATTAAATATTGAAAAGTTAGTATCTCCCTGTATATGTAAACAGGCCTTCCCCCAAATAAATTTTCTTTAAAAATTCCCAATAAATAAAATCTGCAAGCAGCAAGAATCTACCAAGGGTGTCACCAAATGTGAATCAATAAAATACAAATATTTGTCTTTCTGTCACTGAAATTTGTGACTTTTTTTCTTTTCTTTTTTTGATGCGATAACCTTTCCCAATGAAATCTACAGTTTGTGTTTACTCTGAAGATATATAAATTCACATCATTACTTGCTGAAAACAAGTGTAAATCTCTAAGTTTATGAACTTAAAAACAATAAACAGGATTTATGAAAATGATAGGACATACTGCTGCATATATTCCACCTTAAGAGAATAAACCAACAAATGTTTCTCATTTAATGACCAGATAAATTCACAATATTTAATCTAAAACCAAAGATAAGACTTATTTTTAAGTCTCCTAAATGAAATATTATATAGAAATGCACCTAGTTATTTAAGTTGCAGAACTAAGAGACTTAAACAACAGGTTCAAAATTATTTAATTACAGGTATTTGTGCTTATCTACACAATAGTATAGGGAAGTTATATAATGTTCACATTTAATTAAATTTCAAATTAGTACCAATTTTATCTTGACACAACTTAAGTAACTAATTTTGAGGATTCATTTTTTTTTACATTAAAAAAAAGAGACAAACAAAAGGAAGAGTTAGGAACATCAATATAGATTTTCCTATGTACCCATGTGAACTCTGGCAAGCGACTATAGATAACAACAGCACAGCCTGATCCTACTTCTTGCTCCAAATGATACTGAATATAGCGTTTCTGCTTCCATTATCTTTTCTCTCCTGGTCAGCAGTTCACGGTCACTTGCAGCTACCAAACATTCCCTCATTCCTCCTGCATATGGTACAAGAAGTACTCCTCATCACGCCCTTCGGTAGTGCTAGCCAAGTCCACCATTTCATCTAACCAATACCGCCTTAAGAAACACGCCTGACTCACAGCCAATTCCATGTTTCCATTAAGAGTTTGTCTTTTTCTAAGAGATAGAAGCCCTTATAACTTGAAGTGTGCAAACACTGCTTAATGTACCAAGTACCATGATGCTTGTTTTTCCCACAGCTGATTATTTTATAAAATTGTTTAAAGCAAAAGTAGCTCTTAAATAAGTTGCAGTGTATTACACTTCATCAGGATCAACAGCCATTATCTCCCAAAGAACAATAAGCTGCCACTGGAGGAGAAAATAATCAGCACACATGCAAAGACAGTAGTTGATCCACAGCAGCATGTTCTCAGGGAAGAAGAGGATTCTGAAAATCAAAGATTATAACATGGAAAAGGACTAAGGAGGCAGGAAAAGAGCATGATGTGCTGACATCCCATTTTAATTTCTCCAAGTCACATATTTCTCTAGCTAATGACTAATTTGAACTGTATACATCTAAGCAGGCCAACTCACAGGGAATAAAATATCTGCATTTTCTTTATAAAATAGCATCAATATACTATATAATCTGACAGATATAATCCAAAGTATGAGACTTGAGTTATAGATAATTTTTATATATAAAAATATGTACAAGTATTTTCACAAGATAAATCTATAAACAGATAGGTTTAGATATGTTTTAGGTTTAGAAAAACCTAAAACATAAAAGTCTATAAAGTATCCTGAAAAACAGTATAGTGTTCAAACCTTCTATATACTAATATATACATGTCAGTATAAAAATGACATAAAAGGCTGGTGTCATGGTGCAGCAGGTTAAGCAGCCATCTACGGTGCTGACATTTCAAATCAGCACTGGTTGGGGCCAGCGCGGTGGCGCACTGGGTTAACGTCCTGGCCTGAACCGCTGGAATCCCATTGGGCACCGGTTTGAGACTCAGCAGCTCCACTTCCGATCCAGCTCTCTGCTATGGTCTGGGAAAGCAGTGGAAAATAGCCCAAGTTCTTGGGCCCCTGCACCCGCGTGGGAGACCTGGAAGAAGTTCCTAGCTCCTGGCTTCGGATAGGCACAGCTCCAGCCGTTGTGGCCATCTGGGGAGTGAACCATCGGATGGAAGACCCCCCTCCCCCTGCCTCTCCTCTCTGTGTAACTCTGACTTTCAAATAAATAAATAAATCTTTAAAAAAAAAAAAATCAGCACTGGTTCAAATCCTGGGCAGCTCAACTTACAATCCAGCTCCCTGCTAATGTGCCTGAAAAGCAACAAGATGATTGTCCAGGGATTTGGGTCCCTGCCACCAATGTGGGAGGCCAAGACAGAGTTTGGCCTGGCACAGCCCCAGCTATTACAGCCATTTGGGGAGTAAACCAACAGATGGGAAACTCTCCCTCTCTCTTTCTTCTTATCTTTGTATCTCTGCCTTTCAAACAAATAAATCTTTTAGAAAAGTTTTTTTAAATTACATAAATGTACAAAACTAGATTGTCAGTATTTTACAAAGTTTGTAAGTATCATATTTTTCTTGAAGTTAATCTTATCAGTATTACTCTATATTGCAAATTCCTGAAACTTATTCTTCAAAATACAGACTTACCTATCAGTAACCATTTTTCAAAGATTTCTAAAAATTATAAATTCCACAACCCTATAGAGTAATACAAAAATGTGTTGCTTTATTCAAAGTGAACTTCAATAATATCTAGCTTTTAACATCTCACTATATGAGATATTTTATGGAGCAAATGTGGAATAGTTCAATACATGAGTAGACAATGTTTTGTGTATTTATTATGATCCATAAGAATGTCCTCTTTTCATGAAATCTTCCCCTGAGGGGAGGAAAGTGAGGCAAATTACCAAATCTTACCAAATTATAGAGAAGCCAATTCCATGAACCTGTAAACCAGGATTAAGTGACTAGTGCAATAAAAAGAATTACCATGAACAATTAATTCAGATTTTCTATTATCCTTGGTCCAAACAGCTTTAACTTTTTATTAGAGACTTTTATTCAACTAATAAAAATGGAAAGTTCTGAAATCCTTTACAGGAAGACATTTCACTTACCAATGATTTAGGTTGCTACATATATAACGCTCATGTTATATATGTTACATATATATATATATTTTAAAGATTTATTTATTTTATTTGACAGGCAGAGTTACAGAGAGGCAGAGGCAGAGAGAGAGAAAGAGAGAGGTCTTCTATGCGCTGGTTCACCCCCCATATGGCCACAACGGCTGGAGCTGCGCCAATCCGAAGCCAGGAGCCAGGAGCTTCTTCCAGGTCTCCCATGTGGATGCAGAGGCCCAAGCACTTGGACCATCTTCCACTGCTTTCCCAGGCCATAGCAGAGAGCTGGATCGAAAGTGGAGTAGCCGGGACATGAACCGGCACCCATATGGGATGCTGGCCCTACAGGCAGCAGCTTTACCTGCTACACCACAGTGCTGGGCCCTATATATGTTACATATAAAAAAGAATTTCTGTTAATATAAAAAATCAATGATAGTAAGGAAATATGAGTACTCATGAACATAGTTACCCTGGCATTTCTAAACTATACATAATGTAATAAATAAAAGTACCAGGCAATCCAACTGAAAATTTGAATAATAATACTCCATCAGTAATCTATAGGCCAATGTGCTAATTTACATTTCAAAATAACAAAAATTTACATCAGCTACTCAATGATTTGAAGTCGGACTCTGAAAAGTATTAACTGAAGTTCATAATTAGAGCATTGTTATTAACACTAAAATTTTTTTTTATCCTCTGCCAGTGCTTACCTTTTCAGAATTTGTAAAAACATCCGATTTCAATTCTCCATCTAGAAACTCATTAAAATATTTCATCAACTTCTGAGCCTCCACTGCCCGCTGTCTGGGTGTGTTTACCCCCTCCAGCTGGTCTCCAAGGTGACAGACTTTGGTTGCCACATAGCTAATGTGCTCATCGAGTTCTTGGAAATGCTGAAAGGCAACCTAGGAAAATGTCCACAAGCATAAAACACAATCAGAGAACTCATTTTATATAAGTTAATATGCATCAAAACTAAGCTGCCAATCTCATCACTACACTCTGCAAAGATAACAATGAAGTAATATTATTATAAGACGTTCTATAAAACTAGTCCACGCTCATTTATATAATATGATCTGAAAATCTTTTAAGCAAGTTGATTTTACCCTTTTAATATTAAAATTAGCACACTTACAAGAATACATGTGTTGATCAAAACAAGGCTACTTTCAACCTGTTTAACAAAATAACTCAGTACCATTTATTCCTGAACAGTGATTCTGAAACAATGACTAAACATTGAAGGAATCAGACAATGAACAACTCTCTGAAAAGCACAAAAAATGACAGAACTGAAAGATATTTATTAAAAAATACAGTACAGTTCACATATTTAAAAAGCAATGTTAATACTATATACAAGGTAAAATTGTTCTTGCTAGCTGTTAAAAGACTGCAACAAATATTTTACGGCAAAGGTACACTGAATTCTAAAATATTTCTTCCCTTCTCCCAGGAACTTATTGTCCTCTGGTAGATGAAAACTGTGTGCAATGAATGCCTTAGAATTGCTTATAGCAGAACTGCCGCCATTCAGTATTGTACTTTCTTCTTACTTTAAATCTAGCAGGAGGCCAGCGCCGTGGCTCAATAGGCTAATCCTCCGCCTGTGGCACTGGCACACCAGGTTCTAGTCCCGGTTGGGGCGCAGGATTCTGTCCTGGTTGCCCCTCTTCCAGGCCAGCTCTCTGCTGTGGCCCAGGAGGGCAGTGGAGGATGGCCCAAGTGATTGGGTCCTGCATCCGCATTGGAGACCAGGAGAAGCACCTGGCTCCTGGCTTCGGATCAGCACGGTGCGCCAGCCACAGCGGCCATTGGGGGGTGAACCAACGGAAAAAGGAAGAACTTCCTCTCTGTCTCTCTCTCTCACTGTCCACTCTGCCTTTCAAAAAAAAAAAAAAAAAAAAAAAATTGAGCAGGAAAAAGTTGTGAACAGTTAATTGAGGACTTTCTCTTTTTTTGACAGGTAGAGCTATAGACAGTGACAGAGAGAGAGAGACAGAGAGAAAGGTCTTCCTTCCTTTGGTTCACTCCCCTAATGGCCACTACGGCCAGCGCTGCGCCAATCCGAAGCCAGGTGCTTCCTCCTGGTCTCCCATGCAGGTGCAGGGCCCAAGGACCTGGGCCATCCTCCACTGCCTTCCTGGGCCACAGCAGAGAGCTGGACTGGAAGAGGAGCAACTGGGACTAGAACCTGATGCCCATATGGGATGCTGGCGCCACAGGCAGAGGATTAACCAAGTGAGCCACGGCACCGGCCCAAGGACTTCCTCTGCGCTATACACTGTTCTAAGCCTATTATATGTATTTACTTAAAACGCTGACCCACACAACAAAGCATACTATAGATGAAAAACTGAGGGGGCCAGTGCTATGCTGTAGCAGGTAAAGCTGCTGCCTGCAATGCCAGCATCCCATATGGGGGCCAGTTTGAGTCCTAGCTGCTGTACTTCCTATCCAGCTCTCTGCTATGGCCTGGGCAAACAGTAGAAGATGACCCAAGTTCTTGGGCCCCTGCACTCGCATGGGATACCCAGAAGAAGCTCCTGGTTTCTGGCTTCAGATCAACGCAGCTCCAGCCATTGTGGCCAACTGAGGAGTGAACCAGTGGATAGAAGACTCTCTCTCTCTTTGCCTCTCCTTCTCTGTGTAACTCTGACTTTCAAATAAATAAATAAATCTTAAAAAAACAAAAAAAGAAAAACTGAGGCACAAGAAGGTTAAACTGCCTGAGATTACATACTGAATAAGTGATAGAGCTGCAATTAAAAATCAGGCAGTATGTTCCACAGGTTTTTAGTTTAGCTATTAATTCTATTATCAAGTAAAAACTCCATTAGAAATATTTGAAAACTGTCACCTCGACTAGTAAACAACACACTTCCTATCTTATTTAAATTATTGACTTCCTTAATAAGACATTTTCTCACAGCTGATTTGCTTAAGCAAAAAATAAGTAAATAAATAAATGAAATTTTAGCAGAAATCAACTTGTTAATCCCTAACACTACTAAAAGAACAAACGGTTCTTGGGAAGCAACAATGCTAAACAAATGCTCTTCAAACCAAGGTGATCAAATTCCAGATCAGGCTCAGCCCACAGGAAGAATTCATGGGTTCCAGATTAATTCTAGGGCCTGACAGTGACAACAAAGGTTGGCCTACTGAGCCCCAGTGCCAATCAAGTGATTTGGTTTCACTCCAAAATGGCCAAGGAAGAGTTCAGCATCTACTTTTCCCATAGTACTACAGCTCTCATTGGGACATATGCTTCAAAGTTGACATTTCCTAGACTAGGTTTACTTTAGTGAAAAACCTGATCCAGGCAATAGTTGGTCTAATGCTACTTTGTTTTATGATTATAGAGAATGCAAATGCCAACTAAAATAGTCAAAATATAGGTCTACTGAAGTACATTCTTGAAAATTTGCATTATTAGAAGTAAAGCAAAGACCACAATAAACAGGATACCACTTGATCTTGAAATTCTAGTGTTGTGATCCCAAACTAACACTTAGTAGCAAGCCAATGCCAGGAGTATTTGATAACAACTTATTAACACTTCATCTCATGAGACCACAATGGCAAAGCAAAAGCTCAATAGTTACTATCGTCTGACTAAACTTTTTTAAAAGCTTCTAACTAGGGGATGGTGCTCTGGTGCAGTACATTAAGCCTCCGCCTGTGGCGCCTGCATCCTATATGGGCACCAGTTTGAGTCCCAGCTGCTCCACTTCCAATGCAGCTCCCTGTAATGGCCTGGGAAAAGCAGCAAAAGATGGCCCAAGTGCTCGGACCCCTGAACCCATGTGGGAGACTGGAAGAAGCGCTTGACTCCCAGCTTTGGATTGGCCCTGCTCCAGCCATTTGGGGAGTGAACCAGAAGATGGAAGACCTCATGCTTCTCCCTCTATCTGTAATTCTGCCTTTCAAATAAATAATCTTAAAAAAAAAAAAAAAAACCCTTCAAGCTAGGAGACAGTTATTACGGCCTATACAAGCTAGAAGGAGACAGTTACTATGGGCTATACAAGCTGGGAGGAGACAGTTACTATGGGCTATACAAGCTGGAAGGAGACAGTTACTATGGGCTATACAAGCTGGAAGGAGACAGTTACTATGGCCTATACAAACTGCTCACCACTTAGCTCAATGTTTACCTGATTGCTTTTCTGGAGCTCTTGCACCTTCCTGGCAAATTCCTTGGCTTCTTTCTGACATTGTTGTTCTAATTTCTCTACTTTCCTCTGAATCCTTTCATCCATTATCTGGAGTTCTTGAATGTGATTTATAAATTCTTCTAATAATCTAAATGAAGACAGAAAATGTATCTATCAATCTATTATTAATCAAAAGGAACTGAACAATTCACTTATAAATAAAGTCCTAATAAGAGTTCTTTGAGGGGCCAGCGCTGTGGCGCAGCGGGTTAACGCCCTGGCCTGAAGTGCCAGCATCCCCTATGGGCTCTGGTTCGAGATCCGGCTGCTCCACTTCCTGTCCAGCTCTCTGCTGTGGCCTGGGAAAGCAGTAGAAGATGGCCCAAGTCCTGGAGCCCCTGCACCCACGTGGGAGACCCAGAGGAGGCTCCTGGCTTTGGATCAGCACAGCTCTGGCCGATGCAGCCAACTGGGGAGTGAACCGTTAGATGGAAGACTCTCTCTCTCTCTCTGCCTCTCCTCTCTCTGTTTAACTCTGACTTTCAAATAAATAAATAAATCTTTAAAAAAAAAAAAAAAGAGTTCTTTGAGCTGAGATGAACTTGTCAATTTTCTCTATAGCACTTTGCTAGGAATTTATTCAGTGAAAAGACTAAGTCTGTAATTTGATGACTTCTTCATAGTTCTCTCCAAGCCACACAGCTTTCAAACAAGCATAACATTTGAAAAATATGGACAGTCTTTATTGACTTTTCAGGGGATAATTTCAGACGTGAATGAAAACCTCACCCAGAATGCCCATAAAAACTCCAGGATAGAAACAAACTTCATAGTCTATAGCTTATTTTAAACAGTCAAGAATGTACTATATAAAAATAGTATTACCCATTCCAGAATTCAGTGACTTTCTGCAACTACTGTATTTAATACAACCTATTCAACATGTTGCTATTGTATAACAATCCTTTATGATTACTAAGGGAAGAAAATATTAAATTCTTATGCTCAATAAAATCCCTTCCCTCATACCAGCTGTGGTGCAGCAAGTTAAGCCATTACTTAAGACACTCACATCCCGTATCTGAGTGCTTGGGATCCAGCTTCCTACTGAAGCAAGCGGCAGCCAGTGGATGATGGCTCAAGTACTTGAGTCTCTGCCACCAACAGGGGAAACCCAGATGGAACCTGGCCCAACCCTGACTTGTGGGCATGTGGGGAGTGAATCGACGGATGGAAGATCTCTCTCTCTCTCTCTCTCGATGGAGCCTGGCCCAACCCTGACTTGTGGGCATGTGGGGAGTGAATCGATGGATGGAAGATATCTCTCTCTCTCTCTCTCTCAATGAAGCCTGGCCCAACCCTAACTTGTGGGCATGTGGGGAGTGAATCGATGGATGGAAGATATCTCTTTCTCTCCCCTTTCAAATAAATGAATAAATAAGCATTTAAAATAAAAGGAATGTAAAATGAAAAACACAGCCCAAACTTCCAATATTCTCTTTTGGTCTTTGGTGGACTTTATTGACTAACTGTACGAAAATATAAACATGAATGCCAACAGTAACCTCAACAGTCAAACACAAATTTGTAGCATTAGCTTGAGTTTATGTGAAAAACTGGGTTTACTTCACCTTTTGGGATCAAAAGCTTCAGGTCCACCTCTAGAGCCTCCTCCTGGGGTTCTCCACACAAGACGTTCAATGTACTCATCTGCCACAAAAGGCTCCTAGTTTACAAAATAAATATGCTTTGAGTTTCTTGGAAAATAATATTACTTAGAAAAATAATGTCTACTATACATGCAAAAATGTACTGAATTACTAGTTATTTAAATATATCCATATTATGAAAAATGTACTAGGTCTTTCCCAATTAAAAAAATCTTCTGGGGCCAGTGCTTAGTAGACTAAGCCTCTGCCTGCAATGCCAACATCCTATATGGGTGCCAGTTTGAGTCCTGGCTGCTCCTCTTCTGATCCAACTCCCTGTTCACATTCCTGGGAAAGCAGCAGAAGATGGCCCAAGTACTTGGGCCCCTGCATCCACATTGTTCCTGGCTCCTGGCTCCAGATCAACTCAGCTCTGGATGTTGTGGCCATCTGGTGAAAGAACCAGCAGATGGAAGATCTTTCTGTCTGTCTCTCCCTCTCGGTAACTCTCTCTCTCAAATAAAAAAAATAAAATCTTTAAAACTAATCTTCAATTATCAAAACAAATTGCTTAATGAAAATTAGGATAGCAAAACATTAAAATAGTATTAATAACTATATTATATATATATATATAATAATAATAGCCAGAACAACTCAACAGAAAAATGAGCAAAACACAAAAAGACAATTTATACAATATGGCCCAAAAAGACATAGGAAAAAATGTTCAGCCTTACTACTATCTAAAATGAATTTACGTTATCACTTTTTTAATTTCACAAAATACAATAACTTTTTAATTACTGTAGGAATGTCATCAGATACAATATTTTTGAAAGGTTGGTAACTACTGGGTAACATCAACAGTATTAGAAATGTTCATATTCTTTAACCAGGTAATTCTGGTTTTAAAATTCTAAGGAAAAAGTACATCTGAACACAAAAATATTTGCAGAATTTTCTCCAAGCATTAGGTATAAAATAGAATAATTTTATAAACAGTCAACAAAACACAGTTGATAAATGATAAACTTACAGAATGAAAATATGTTCCTGGTAAAATCATGTAATTAACATTAAAAAATGAGAAAAATGCTAACATATTTAATGAAAAAAAGCAGAATTCAAAAATCTAAGTTTTCTCATTAAAAAAGCACCATTAATTTTTTTAAAAAGGTTACTAGAGTAGAAAGCTCAATCAAGAAAATAAACAGGGGCCAACACTGTGGCACAGCAGGTACGAATGCCACCTGCAGTGCCTGCATTCCCATATGGGTGCCAGGTTCAAGTCCTGGCTGTTCCATTTCCATTCCAGCTCTCTGCTATGGCCTGGGAGAGCAGCAGGAGATGGCCCAAGTGCTTGGGGTCCCTGTACCCACGTGGGAGACTTGAATGGAATTTCTGGCTCCTGGCTTCAGCCTGGTCCAGCCCTGGCTTTGTGGCCATTTAGGGAATGAACAAACAAATGGAAGAAACAACCCCCATAAACTGTCTTTCAAGTAAATAAATCTTTAAAAGACTAAAAAATAAAATATATACTCTACTGTATCTGTACAAAATTTATAGCCTAATAAGAGAAATATAAAGAATGCATTAATGTGTGACAAAATGTATACAAACTCCAGTATTAACACTGCTGAGGGAGTTATTAACAGAATAGGGAGTTTGAAGGACGAAACTGAGTTATTCTTTAATTCAGCAAATACTTTTTAGCAACAAGAACAACAGTTCACACCTACCCTGTGCTCTGAGATCTCAACTGACACGGTTTCCTTGCAAGGCCTCATGGAAAGAATCTCCAAGGTAGGAATGGCAATGAAACAAGTGATCACAGAAATAACTAATTACAATTTTAATAAATGAGATGGAAAGAAAGGTCCTGGGTGCTTTAAGAAAACCTAACAGGGAAAACAGGGAAAGATAGAAGATTGGTAAAGAAGGGTTTTAGAACAAGCAAGCTTGCTGAGGAAGTGATGTTTAAGTCAAGGAAGACGAAAAAGCTGACCAGGTAAAAATGAAACAAATAGTTTTCCTGAAAGGGAAAAGCAAGATAGAGCTTAACCCCTTACAAGAACTGAGAAGCAAGCACAGATGAGGTCAGAGCCACCACACAGGGTATACAGTGAAAGGACAACTAAGACCAATAGTTGACAATCTGGTGCTCCTTCTCATCATCACATAGGAACTTGAGAGAATGGTTCACCAATCTAATGTGGTAAGAGGAATGAAATACTGAATTCCAGTCAGAGTAAGAATAATCCTCCAGAAAAATGGGAATAGCAACAAGCAAAACACTTCACATAGGCACTTCACATGAAATTATCTCATTTACTACTCTCAATAACACTTTTAAGGGGTGGAGGATCCTATTTAATCTTACTTTATGATAAGGAAACTGAATTACTTGCCCTAAGTAACACAAATTACATGTGGCAAGCCTGATACATAAATCAGTGTCATTACTGCTATGCAAACTGAATGGCAAGTTTGGTAAACTACAAATGGCTCCTAGTACCCAGACAGTTCTAGGTGGGGAACGCTAACTGGTAAAACTGAAGAGGGGAAGCTGCTATAAGAACACCTATGCATGTCACTGATTTTGTCTTATAAATTTGTATCTATTAATCTATTATTAATAAATGTTAATCATATGACAGATCAACAATGCAAACCAGCAGGCTTACCACACAACTGATAAACCCCATAGTAGTCACTATAAACCCCATTATAGTCATATTTATGACTATAATATCACTGATCACAAGAAGAGTAAATGTCAACCAGAAAGAATTCAAAACAATATAAGTAAGGCATTTTAAAAAGACTATGTTTTACCTTAAAGGCTTTTTCATGGTGGCCAAATAACTGAAAACCAGCAGTCATATTAATCCAGTTTATTTCAGAAGATTTCCATTATTGGAAATATGTGACATGATCAAGGCAGAAAATGTAAACAAGATTCCTAATTTAAATTTTTTTTAAGTTGGGGCTGGCACTGTGGTGCAGCAGATTAAGCTGCCATCTGCAACGCCAGCATCCCATATGAACACCAGTTCAAATCCTGGCTGCTCCACTTCTGATTCAGCTCCCTGCTAATGCGACTGGGAAGGCAGCAGTTCAAGTGCTTGGTCTCCTGCCACCCACGTGGGAGACCCAGATGGAGTTCTAGGCTCCTGGCTTCAGCCTGCCTCAGCCCCAGCCATCACAGCCATTTGGGCAGTGAACTATTGGATAGAAGATCTCTGTCGCTCTCTCTAACTTTGCCTTTCAAATAAGTAAAATGCTTTTTAAAAAATCCTTTAAAAATAAAAAAAGAACTTCTTTTCATTTATCCATTACTGCTGACATGTTTGAGATGGAGTCTTAAGGATGAATTAGATATCCAAGGCACAGTGAAAAACTTCAGCATCATAAAAGACACTGAACTCATTTAACAAATCTATCATCATTTAAGATAGTTATATTTTTACTTTACTTCAATTCTTTTGAGATGTAAGATATGGTGCATAAACAACCACCTTTTTTTTTTTTTTAAGATTTATTTTATTTATTTGAAAGGCAGAGGCAGAAAGAGAAAGAGAGAGAGAGGACTTCCATCTGCTGGTTCACTCTCCAGATGGCCGCAACGGCCGGAACTGGGCTAATTCAAATCGAGGAGCTTCTCCCGGGTCTCCCATGCGGGTGGAGGGGCCCAAGGACTTGAGCCATCCTCCACTGCTTTCCTAGGCACATTAGCAGGGAGCTGGATCATAAGTGGAGCAGCTGGGACTCAAACCAGCGCCTATATGGGGATGCCAGGCACTATGGGCTTGGGCTTTAACCCGCTGTGCCACAACACTGGCCCCATGATCTTTAATTTATATATATAAATTGACAATTATTGACTTAGGAAAAAGGAATTTACATTTAGAGCTACTCAGAACTTTGGAAACTAAGCTACTTAAAAATTTTTTAAACTCGACAAGTATATAAAATGGTCAAGTAATGATGAAATGGTGATGATTAATTTTTTTAGTTGCTTACTATGTCCCAGACATGTGCCTAGTACTTTACAAACTTTATTGCATTCTGGGCCGGTGCTGTTGTGTAGCAGATAAAAGCCACCGCCTGCAGTGCTGGCATCCCATATGGATTTGAGTCCCAGCTGCTCCACTTCCCATCCAGCTCTCTGCTATAGCCTGGGAAAGCAAAAAAGATGGCCCAAGTCCTTGGGCACCTGCACCCATGTGGAGACCCGGAAGAAGCTCCTGGTTTCTGGCTTTGGATTGGCGTAGCTCCAGCCATTGTGGCCATTTGGGGAGTGAACCAGCGGTTGGAAGATCTCTCTCTCTCTCTCTCTGCCTCACCTTCTCTCTCTGTGTAATTCTGTCAAATAAATAAATAAGTCTTTAAAAACAACTTTATTGCATTCAATACTATAATTAGCAAATTTAAATTCTCTCAAAATATTCTTCATTCAACAAATACGAATTTAGTTTACTACATGCCAGACTATACTAATACCAGACAAGAGGGAAAATCTGCTCCTTTAGATCTAGCGGAAGACAGTGACAAACATAGCAGCAGTAAAATGGTAAGAACTATGAAGAAAAAAGGAGTACAGAGTAGTGGAGAAGAGAATGATTATCTGATAAAAGTCATCATGGAAAAAAAAAAAAAAGTCATCATGCAAGGCCTAAGAAAGTAAATTTTAAGCAAAGACCTATACAAAGACCTAAAGAATGAGCCATCTGAGGGAGGAATACTCCAAGCACAGGGAGCACTCTTAATATGCACTCCAAGGCAAATGTGACTAACACAGCATTTGTAAAGGGGAGATTAGTTGTCAAGAGAAGGTCAAGATGAGGTCAAGAGAAGGAATGAATGTCCAGAGTTTGTATACCAAAGTTTTGCAGAATCTCCTATAACTCTGTTACTAACTGAAAGAAGGCTGGGTTCCCGAGAAGGAGGAACCTGCAATATGCCAGCAAATACATCCGGTAAGAATCTACTATTGCTTCCCCCCAAAAGAGCTATAAGCATTTACCTTGGTAAACCAGGGAACAGGGAACACTCATGAAGTCTACTGGACACA